TACCAACAGGTGCAGCTGTGATCGGTGCATGTTGGTTGTTTCTAATTAATGGCCAATCACAGTCAGCTGGCTCAGACTCTCTGAGAGACACAAGCCTTTGTTATGGATTCCATTCCTGTTCTTTCCAGCCTTCTGATGAATCCTTTTCTCTCTATTCTTTTAGTATAGTTTTTAGTATATCATTTTAATATCATATATATCATAACATAAGAAATCAGCCTTCTGAAACATGGAGTCAAGATTCTCATCTCCTCACACAAAGCATCAACCAGGTAATAACTGCAGTTAATGCAGGGCTCAGGCAGCAGATCCCTGCTTTTCTCATGCTACAGTTACGACATTCCCTTCTGTCCTGCTCCACTCCCCTGTCCTAGAACAGCTCCGGGGGGTGTGGAACAGCCAAAGCTCTACAGGGTCAGCTCAGGCCTTCTCAGCACACCTCGACCTAAGCAAAGGTAAATGACAAAAGTAAATCAGGAGCAAGCACTGCTTTTTACCCCAGTCTCACCTTTCCTCTCCCAGCTCTAGTCTTTCAATCACCCCTCTGAAATCTGCCCTCCATTTATTCCTCTGTCTCTCTTTTCATCTCAGTAAAACAGACAGTGAGATAAAGTGGGTAACTTCAATACCAATGTGTATCTTTTATTCCATGGGCTCCTAAATAAATAATTGTAACCAATAATGTTGCAAACCATTTAAAGTAGACATCTTTCCATAGGCTACAGCAAAATTTGATAGGTGGAATGCAATAAATACTTCACAGTGGAAAAAAAAAATCTAGTGCATCTCATACCTATGTCATTTCCAAAAATAAGTAAAAAACAGCATGAGTTCATGTCTGTTACTACCAGGAGAGAACTGCTGGCTTAGTGCATCTCTTTTTTACACAGTAGTATCTTTTAACAGAGCCATGCTACAAATTTATGACGTTCAAAGAATATGGAAAGGTTAATTTCAGATTGTCTTGATTTTTTTTTAAGCAAAAGTAATTCTGGTGGACAACAAGGGTAAACTTCCACATCTATATGTAGCAACAGTTATAAAACTCCTAAATGAACACTTCTTTAAAACTGAGAGTATCTAATTGCAGTAAATAAAATAATACTACTGGAAACAGCAACAGCTTTCCTTTTAACTTACAGGGATATTTCTAAATTGTCTACTCCCTGTAATTCATAGTTCAGATTTTTTTGGGAGCTGGGAAACGTGTTTCAGAACAAGCAATCTTCAGCTGCAGGGAGAGCTAAGGAAGGACAATCCTGATCTCTTGCAGGCAGTGCTTAACCTGAATGCAATGGTTCTAAACTGTCAATGCAGTTGTCCCATTCAAGTTAATTCCTGCTCTGAACTTGAAATATGGGAAAAAAAGTCTTTAAGAAGGGACAATAATACAATACAGTCAACATTCCTCATTAACCAAACAAACAAACAAGTGACTAAGTCCTTAACCCTGTAGAAATTTGACAATACAGTAAATATTGTCAGAGGAAAATCACAATTCCAAAAGAAAACCAGGAACTGGTTTAAACCACAGCCCATTCTCGCTTCATATATGTGCTGAGTTCCTGTTTCGTATAATGCAGAGTTCCTGTTTCATTGGCTTTTTTCATTCTCTGGCTCATTCCACACAGCTGCTTCCCATGGGACAAGTACAATACACAGAAGGAGAATGAACAACCTGAAGTATGAGATTTTAGCCAAAAAACTCAAAGGCTTTCATGTTCTACTTCTTGATAAGGCAACAAAAGCCCCAAAACAGGTGTTTTTTTTAAAAATGAAGGTGTAAGAGCATAGATCTATATACTAATAAAAATCCCATTAATGGCTTCAGCCAGGTTAAAATAATTATGCATACCTGTGTAGTAGAGCAAATCCATGAGTGATAGCAATCCCGAAATAGGAAATATATATATATATATATATATATATATATATATATATAGTTATTTCAGTGGACTGAAAATGACACATGACCTCAAGTAGTTTCCAGGTTGTACTTAAATCCCAATTCAGTTCCTACTGGAATCTGTATTTTGCTGTTATTGCATACAGCTCTTTGTAAAGCCATGATCCAGCCTGGGCACAATGATTCTCATGGCACATTTATTTCTGTATTTATTAGAGCCCACTGCTGAGGCACCATTCAGAGTGTTGCATTGCAAATAATCCTTGTCTGCATTGGTGTGTTTGTTCACGGGACAATGGAAATTAAAGGGGAAATCTTCTATGGCTTCGGTAAGATTTGGAACAGGCACAATGTTATTGTATAATTACTGATTAGATGTTTTAAAATCACTGTTAATTATTGAAGATTGTAGTTTCTACTCTTGCTGTAAATTTTTCTTAATTTCTTTCTCATCAAACACAATTCAATTTTCTTTTTTTTAACACTACTTTTGTTATAGTGTCTTCAGCTTCTGTAAGGTGGAAAAATCTTGCAATGTTTATTGTCTGCCAATTTTTAGAGCAATGTTTCTCTGATTAATTTTTATTGAAATTTTAATTTAGGTCAGAGTTGACTAAGCAAGAACTTCATCAAGCAAGGATTTGATAAAGGAAGGATTTTCTGTGTATCTTCCAAGCAGAAGTGCTAAACAGAGAGTTTGCAGAGTGTTGCCACAACCATCAATATTTTGCTTTATTTACAACTGCTTGAGGAATGAGATGTTTTGTTCATGTGTTTTTTAATGCATTCCATTATGACTCTAATATGGTGTCATTCCAAGGGTGATTACGAGGTCAGTGAGACTATTACTTAAAGAAAGTCACCATTTATAGTGATTAAAACCTTGGGGGAAAAATCAGCAGCTTTTCTTGAATCCCTCTAGTGTTTGAAATTGAGTCTCAAAGGGCTTGTGAAGGATCCTGCTTATTGAAAGTGATCTCCTGGAGATTTTTACATATCTCAAGTAGCCCTGAGAACTCTGCTGAATTACTAATGTACACATAGTGCATTATTACTTGCAAACCAATGCATACTGAGCATTTTTGACAACTGACATTCCTAAATAATACAGAATATAAGTTTAAAAATAGAAAAAACAGTCTTTTTTAAGCATCTCTTTTCTGTTTACCATCCTTCATCAATATAAATGATACACAGAATTCTGTGGCTATATCAGAAGTGTCTAGAACTTTCAGGAATCCACTATTTCTGCATCACAACTAAAGGTTCTGAACGGTATAAACAGTTTGACTGATTCTAAAAAATCTTGGTCCATCCTTTCATGCTTTTGCATTTAGAGCTGCCCTGTTTGCAGAGGAAATGATCTATACCTGGGAGTAGCTGAAAAACAAACCCGACATCTGAGGAGCCAAAAATGATACACAACTTAAAGCACTGTTGCCTCCAGATTTCTTTAATGAACCAAACTCTCCCTTTTTGCTTCCTGAGCCTCATATCGTAATTGGCAATAACTAGGACGCCTTCTCAAACACAAAAACTCATCAACTGCCAGCTCCCTGCTAATAAACTCATCCAGAACAACTTATTAAGACATAACCTTTAAGTGTGTGAGCAAACAATATGCAGTGAAAGCCGCAACACAAATACCTATAAAGCGAGATGAAGTATTAGGATTACTGCAGCTTTCTCTGAGCGAAGCCAAGCATATGGTGGTATAATGGAGCATGAATTTACAGCAGCAGAGATGTACGATATAGATTAAAGCTTCATCTGGGAGAACATACTGCACGGCAAAAAAACAAAAACAAAAACAAAAACCAACCAAACAAAACCAAACAAACCCTAACAAAAACCCCCAAAAAACAACCCAAACGATTTTTGGTTTTGTTTTCCGGTTGAACGATGAGCACCGAATACTGTTGTGTAGAACAACGGCTCCCTCTGCTGCCCACGGGGAAGGACAAACCAAATCCTGCCTTCTGAACCGCTAAAAACGCGATCCCGAAATAGCCCCGAATTTCAACCGCTCTGAACACGAGGATGGATGCGAGCTTTTCAGGCAGGACGGGTGGGCTCCTGTGATCCACCTGGAGTGTGCGACATGGAAAGATCCAAAATAAATTAACTCCCCTCCGCTAATTTTGTCTGCATTCACTGCCAGAGATGTTAAAGAAATAAGCACTTGACACATTTTTTTACAGTTTAAACCAGAAATATTTGGTTAATACATCTTTATTATCTCTGCTTTAAGGAAGCTGTTGCTTATTCATCCTGGCAGAGCAGCTTTTGGGGTTGTTTCTTTGGTTAAATAAAATGTAAAAATACGAGTGGAAAACCTACTGCCTGTAATAAAAGTGTGACTGACCAACAATAAAGACTGAAATCTGAGGTGTGAAAGTAACTTTTTCAGCGTGATTGAAGCTGTTAAATTGAAGCTATTACATGAGAGTGCCAGTAATACTTGCATTGCCATTTTGACGCTATTAAGGTGTCTTTGTACCCAGTCTGATAAAGGCCATTACCTTTGTCAGATTTTGGGGGAGTGTGGGTTTTTTTTTCAATTTGATTCTAGAGACAGGGCCGTGGCTGAAGGTCAGGATGTTTTTTAGTCCCCACTGCGGACTGTGGACCGAATTGCGGAGCGGGGACTCAGCACAGGGAGGCACTTTTGGGGAGCCCCAAAAGCATAGCAGGGCTGGGGGCAGCGCCACTCCCTGCTGCTCCCGTGAGACGATCCACCGAATCGCGTCCCCACGGCTGCTTTGTAGAGGAAATCAGGGGACCCGTGGCAGATTCAGAGCCCAGGCCACCAGTCCGTGGTGACATCTGTAGCAGTCACTGGCACAAAGGGACACGGCAGAGCCTCGGTGTTCCATCAGCCCGGCGGGACCGTGCCCGTCCCGCCGTGCTGCGCACTCCGGGCCGGGCTGGTCCCGCTCCTCACGCCGGCAGCTCCTGAAAGAAGGGCAGCTCAGGAAAGGCAAGGAGCTGCTGGAGAGGGTCCAGCAGAGACCACAAAGATCAGGAGGGGTCTGGAGCATCTCTGTGATGAGGAGGGACTGAGAGTCCTGGGCCTGGGGAAGAGTGAGAGGGATCTCATCAGACCGTTCCAGCATGTCCCGAGCATGGCGCCAGGCTCTGTTCAGTGGTGCCCAGCGACACGGCGAGAAGCAATACCGGTCATCTAAAACACAGATTCCACAGCAGTATGAGGAAGAACTTCTTTACACTGCGGGTGGCAGAGCTGCCAGAGAGGTGTGCAGTCCCCCTCTCTGGACACATCCCAAACCCACCCGGACGCGTCCCTGCCTCCCCGGCTCCGGTGACCCTGCCCTGCTCAGGAGGCTCGCGCATAGGCGGTGGATTGGCCTCGCCTGGTGCGGGCGCGGCGCGGCGGGGGCGCGCTCGGCGGTGGATTGGCAGCGCCTGGCGCGGGCAGCCTCAGCCATGGCGGACGAGGAGCTGGAGGCGCTGCGGCAGCGGCGGCTGGGCGAGCTCCGGGCCGAGCACGGGGTGAGGGCACGGGCGAGCTCCGGGCCGAGCACGGGGTGAGGGCACGGGCGAGATCCGGGCCGAGCACGGGGTGAGGGCACGGGCGAGATCCGGGCCGAGCACGGGGTGAGGGCACGGGCGAGCTCCGGGCCGAGCACTGGGTGAGGGCACGGGCGAGCTCCGGGCCGAGCACGGGGTGAGGGCAAGGAGGGATCCGGGCCGAGCACGGGGTGAGACAGCGGCCGACTCTCCGCCCGAGGCGCTTTCGGCGCCTCTCGGGCTGGAGGGGAAGAGGAGAGGCGGGTAGGGATCAGGCCCGAGCACGGGCCGAGGCAGCGGCCGACTCTCCGCCCGCGGCGCTTTCGGCGCCTCTCGGGCTGGAGGGGAAGAGGAGAGGCGGGTGCGTGAGCGGGGCCGGGGGAAGCGGGAAGAGGCCCGGCCGTGCCGGAGCTTTGGCTGGGAGCGGCACCGAGCGCAGCCCCGGCCCCGCCGCCCCTCCCGCCGCTGCTGCCCTGGCAGGTTCGGCACACGAGCGTTCCCGCCCCCGATCGCTCACTATTCCAGGGACTGCCTTCCTCGCCTTTCCGGTCATCTCAGTTTTCAGAGCTGAATCACAGAATTGTTAGGGCTGGAAGGAACTTGTGGAAATCATCCAGTCCAGCCTCTCACCAGGGCAGAGTCACCTGGAGCAGCTGACACGGGAGCGTGTCCGGGTGGGTTTGGAATGTCTCCAGAGACTCCACGGCCTCCCTGGGCAGCTGCTCCGGTGCTCTGCCACCCTCCATGGAAAGTTCATCCTCTTGTTGAAATGAAACTTTTAGTTTATGGCCATTGCTCCTTGTCCTCTGCTGGGCACCACTGAAAGGAGTTGGACACCATCCTCTGACACAATCCCTATATGGATTTATATGAAGTGTCAATTTTGTTGTTCCTGTGAAGGACCTCTGCCTCCAGCCAGCCCCATTTCCTCTGTGTGGTTTTCCATCCTGCTTTCACACCTTTAATGGTTACCTGTAAAATCTGAGCTGTTGATTCCCTGTAAAGTTGAGGGTTTTTCGGTTTCTTGTTACTTGTTTCTGAATAGTCAGCAGTTTTCCCCCTTTTGTTTTTCTTATGTATTAGTGTTTAATGCAGGAATCAACTCTTGTAGAACCCCCCTCATGAACTTTTCATTGGTTTGGGGAGTTAGACTTGATGATCCTTGTGGGTTCTTCCAGCTCAGAATGTTCCACGATTCTGTGATTCTGGGATTTCAGCTGCCAAGCTGAGAATGTGTTAGGTTTCATTTTACTTATCCTTAAGTTCCTCTAATGGATCTAGAATACTTTTGTCAGTTTTCTGGGCTTTGGAGAAGCCTGTTATCCTAGAGCTAAGGGGAAGGCCTCTTTCCCAGCCTCAGGAATCTGTGGACAGCCCCGGAGCAGCTCACCCCACTGTTGGCATGCCTGCACTGTGAGGAGAGCAGAGGCTGGCACATTTATTTATCTGCCAGGGCAGCAGATTCCCATTTCCAGGATCTCATCCATGGGCAGGCAGGTTTAGCAAGCTGGTTTATCTTCATTCCACGCTGCTGGAATATTTTAACTTTCTGTCCTGTGTGGAGTGATTCTGGATTGTGATATTTGCTCTGGTCTCCTCCTTTAGGATCCTTCCGCTGATCCGTCGCAACAGGAAGCAAAGCAGAGGTATAAGTGAGACTATTGAATTCTTCAACCATTTACTTTTTTTTTTTTTTTTAGTATTTAATTTCTTTGGAATGCTGCCCCACATTTGTTTTGTGCTGGAAAAACCACCAACAAAGGAATTGGAATTGAACATTGAAACGGAGCAAAGGCTTGGTGCAGGTGTGGCTCCCATGCCGTGACCGTGCTGCCTGAGCCCTGCTGGGCTGGGAGGGCACGACGAGAAAGCAGCAGCAGCTCATTTTCCCCTGGCCCTTGCCTGAGTCAGTGACCTCCTGAGCTGCAGCGGTACAGTGGGGTGCTGGGGAGCATCATCCCTCCCACTGTCACCTGCTTCTGGAAGGCAGAATCCTTGGCTCCTCAGGGTTGGTAGGAGTTCATGATCCAAGTCTTGCAGGCTGGCAGAACTCCTCCCAAACTGGTGCTTTTTGTCAGTGGTGAGTTTGGGTTGGGTTTGGCTGTTATTGCAGTGGGAAGAGCCTTTCCCAGTTGATTTGATTTTTCTGGGATATCTGTTCCCGTTAAAAAGCTGAAGCAAAAGGATTTTAGTCAAAGCTCAGTGGGGGAAGTGTTCAGTATTTGTGCTGAGGGGAAGATTGTAAACAAGTGTTTGAAGAGCTGACTTTGCACTGTATTAACTAAAGTTTCATAAACTAAAGCTCCAGTTTTGCAGATACTTATATGAAATATTGTAAATACATGGAGACTTAGTGAAAAGTTCTAAATACCTAAATGAGCTTTGGTTTGGTTTTGGAATTGCATGGACAATTCCTTGTGCCTGTTCTACCATGCACTGCCTTGGGGTGAATTCCACATGGATAAATGCAGGATCTAAAGGGTAGCACAGCTTTTGTCTCATAAAATGTAATCATGAGCAGGAGAAGGTGTAAGTATGAAACTCCTCCTTGATTTCTTGGAAGATGTTGCCAGCTGTGTAACTTCAGTAATGGGAAATGTCCCTAAGAAATGGACATTCCCAGGAGAGGAAATGCTGTAAAAGGTATCACGTAAATGGAAGGTTTGAAGTGACTTCAGGAAGCCACTTCCACAAATCAAAAGTCTTCTGTAGTTTGCTGTTCTGTGCATGTTATTTTAGGTGTTTGAAATCCCACTTTTAATGTGTGGTTCACTTCTCCTTACAGGGAAGCAGAGATAAGAAATACTATTTTAGCTCAAGTTCTTGATCAAGCAGCTCGTGCAAGATGTGAGTATCCAAGAAACTTCTAATAAAAAATACTCATCTAAGTGACTCCTCAGAAGTGTGTGGTAGAGGTCAGACCAGAAAAATACTGGTTTTGCTGAGAAGATAAAACTTGCAGCTTTTCAGCTGGCAATATCAGTGATTAGAAGGGAGAGGCTAATGAGTATCTGAATTATGTTTATGTTTTGGGTTTTATTTAAATTAGTAGAAGGAATTATATGGAGAGTCAAAATTGTTTAATCAGGAGCAAATATTTAAAAGTAAAAAATATAACTGTCTTGTACCTGGCATAAATGAAAATGCCTTTTTCAATTTATTTCATGACCCTGGCATGAAGATTGTTTCCTAGGGACATTTCTCACTTTTGTGTTACTAATGAAAGTATTGGAGAATGTTCTAATCCCCAGTGAACAGAGCCTGTTTTTGTTGCAGTAAGCAATTTAGCACTTGTGAAACCAGACAAAGCAAAAGCAGTAGAGAATTATCTTATACAGATGGCAAGATTTGGACAGCTAGCTGGAAAGGTGAGTATATTTCCTAATTCCTTCTCACATATTTTTATTTTTAAACCCAATTCACTCTAAAAAAAAAGATGTTTATAATAGATGTAAGTTAAATTAACTGTAAATAGCTCCTAAAGACTATTATATAATTCCATCAAAAATCTTTTGTAAGAAAGGAAATTGTGATTCAGTTGCTTGATACTAAGCATCTCTCAGAGTGTGTTTATGCACATTTTGTTTGACTTTCCTAGGTATCAGAACAAGGTTTGATAGAAATTCTTGAAAAAGTGAGTCAGCAAACAGAAAAGAAAACAACAGTGAAGGTGAGTTTTGTTTCCTAGGTGTAACGCTGTATAAAGTAGAGCAGCAGAATTGCACGTGTGGCACCAGTTCAGGGTGGCAGTTTGTATGTGCAGCTCTTGCCCTGCCCTGGTGGGTGCTGGGGCTCCACCAGAGCAGTCCTGCACATCTGCAGTGCTGCAGCCAGCCCGGCCCAGCTCTGTCCTGTGCCACTGGGCCAGGCTGGGCCTTCACTGCCACGGCACTGGGAAGGGCTTGTGCCAGCCTGCATGTACCATGACCCTTCAGTTCTCACTTTATGTATTTCATTTTAGTTCAACAGAAGGAAAGTGTTGGATTCTGATGAAGAGGATGATTATTAATACCACTGTAAGGCTGCCAAACAATAGCCTGGAACAATGCTGTTAGCAGGCAGAATGCAAGATCTGAAAATGTTTACGCTTCTTGACTTTTTTTTATTATTATTATAAAAGGCCAACAAATAACTTGTAAAATAAATCTGAGAAGGGGGTTTTTATAACTTAAAGTTTTGTAGTGTAAGAGGCCTGAGCAGTGTGGAGTTCCCCATGGCTTCATTAGCATGAATGTTTTGTTACCCCTTCCTCACTGTAAGCTCTGCTTTCAGCCACTGCACACACTTACCTTGCTGTTACTGGAGATGCAAACACAGGTGAGACAGGGAGCAGCCACTGAGAGTTAAAGTGTGCCCACACTCTGTCACAGAGGTGTTAGAAAGGAGATTGCTGAGCCCCTGAAGGATGCCTGCCCACCCTGCCACCGGCTCTCAAGTCCTTACTGGAAATTTAAAAATGAAGGTATCCAAATAGTGTTTGGATCAGGGGATTCCCATCAGGCAGTCTGTGTAAAGAAATGTTACCAGCAAAGAGCTGAAGTGTTCCCCTGTGAGTTCCTGGGCTTTCAGACCAAGCAAGTTAAGTGTGTCATACACAGCACTGTTCAGACACTCGGTATCGTGTATCTTACAACTACCTCCACTTTTATCAAATGGCTGGAGCGTTTCTTTCCTGGAAAAAAAATACCATTTTCCTAAACTCTGCAACTCCCGCATGCATAAAGTAAAACTGAACTCGTGCTGTACGTTTATTCAAGAATATGGTTATGGAAATCAGTAGAATGAATACTGTAATGTGCTGATAAACTCCCACCACAACCCCCTTATGTGACATAATTTAACAGGATCGTGTAGGATTCCAACTGCAGTGTTTTTTGGAACAGAATAAACTTGTTTCAAGTGAGCACTAGTGGGTGTTTTTCATCTTGTCTGAATGTGGTTAAAGATATGAAACATTTGTTATTTTTGTTTCATTTTGTTTAGACTGTGCATTTTGCTTCTCTGTGTTTGTAATTAGGATACCTCAGCTTTAGTGATACCCTGAGTGTGCCAGATTTCTTCAGACTTACCACCTTTACTGAGTCTGAAGCCAAAGTTTGGTGAACTGATTTTTCTTACCCATATAGTTGAGAAATCTGAAAAATAATTTAGTTAAATGCATGCTACAATAAAACACAGGCAAAATTCTCACTTGTAATTTGCAAATCAGATCTGTAACAGTCTACTAGATCTTAAATATCTGGATTATTCTTGCTACAGGTCAGGACCAGTGACTTACTCTGGGTCATCTTTAGAGTGTCACAAGAAGGGAAAACCTGTTTTACCTCTTTTCTTTTGTCTTTTGACTTGTAAGAGCTGAACATTCTTTTTTTTTTAATTTGAATGTAGAGCTAGAAGAGGAGGTTATGTGAAAATGCTGAGTTTCACTAACAGTTCTATTTTGTGCACCTCTGTGCATACATCTAAAACCACACAACCTAATAAAGTTATCTGTAAATGTAGGAGGAAGGAAAGTCCAAGAGTAAACACAAGGCAAAATCTTCAAATGCCTATAAAACCAAGCAAGAAAATCTGTAACAGATTCAATGCTTGCACAAAAGCACTCAAAGAAACCAGCATTTTTCAAGAGTTCTTTTACTAGTTTTTTCTTCCCATCATTTGGCACAAATCCAAGGCACATCAGAAAATCAGATGAACTCATAAATTATTAGAAAAATAAACACATTACCCTCAAATCCAAATATCATTTGACATTTTACCTCTTAGATTAAAAAGTTATCTTCCAGCTTTGTATTTTGCCAGTTTACTAATACCACAGTTAAAAGAAAGAGAATTATCTATACAAATAGTTCATGAAATAAAATGCAAGCTGGATGTGATGAGCCAAGAATAAAAAAATACTGCACTGCAAAACCTGGCTTGTGCTATTTACAGCTTGTCCTCCCTTAACCACAGTAGAAAATGAACTTCAGATCTAAGCAGCCACTTGGTAGTTCCCTGTCAGCTTCCAGTTCTTCAGGGATCACCCCTGGGAACGGGGCAGGATTTGGCCTATTCCAGCCCGTGCTCACTGGTGTGAGAGGTACCTTTCATAATGGCAATTTCACCCTTTTAATAGCAGCCCAGAGCAGGCTCTGAAGCAGTTTTGTCTGTGATGTTGCCCAGGACCAGAATCGTGAATACTTGTGCATTTTTGCATTACTTCCTTTAGAATAGGGGAAAAGCAACTTAAATGCATGCTACAATAAAACACAAGCAAGCAGCTTGTGCTTGCTTCTGCTTTAGGTTGTGAACAGTGAGTCCAAAGTTTAGGTTTGTCAAGGGCTCTCCACTTTTTCCCAGTATCTTGGCTCCTCTGTAAGAACTTGATCTTGCAGCTCCAGTGCAGGGGAGCATTGCTGAGATATTAGAAAGGATTACATCCCTTCACATTAGTAAAGGAGCTGTTATGGATTATTGTTTGCCCAGCTACTGAAATATACACAAATATATATTATAATGGTAACATTACAGTAAAAATAGAGACATTTCAATTACCTCTGGCAATAAATACCTTGTTATCCAATATATCTTTTTATATATATAAATATATTTATATTCTGAATGTAGTGATAAAAACTGAAAATGCAAAAATTATTCAAAGACTTTTAAAACAAAGTGGGTGGCTGAAAAATACAATACAGGGTTTCATTTGGTTTACTGTTACATAGAACTTTTTAGTAAGTGCTGAACAGAATAGGAAAGTAATTTTGCTGTCTTCATGTCGTTGCATCCCTGTTAGTGAGATCGGTAATGATCTGGCTGTGTGGTCACCTCCAGCAGGAACAGAGGAGTCAGGCCCCAGGGTGCCAGAACATTCCAGCTGTGCTGCAGAGCCTGTGCCTGCTCTGAGCTGGGGTGTGCGAATGTCACCGACAGTAACGCACAGTGAAGGGCTACTGAAATCCACAGCACCAACTTCCTCAGCTCCGGGCTGCAAATCCGTGCTTCCCTTCAGTGCTGCGAGCCCGAGCCGTGGCAGTGCCGGGGCTGTGGCAGCCCGGGCTCTGCAGGGCCGCAGGAGCCGCTGTCGCTGCCCTCTGCGGGCAGGGCCACGCTGAGCACACTGACCGTGTGCCTGCGCTGCAGTAATCGGCTCCTGGCAGCAGCTGCCGTGCCATCATCTTCCACAAGCTCACCACTGCACCCCGAGTCAGTCACCTGGCCTGTGCTCTGCTCCAGCATTCCAACAGATTTTAATTTGCTTTTATCAAAGCTTTTTATAGCCATCTGTGAGGAGAGAGAAATGGTACGTTAGTTAAAAGCATCTGCTTTCTTCATTAAGAAGGAGAGTTAATATATTGTTTCTAGAACGCTATTATCACATGAATTTCATGACACTGAGAACACAGCCAAGATTAAAACAGCATACTTTGTAAGAGAGTAATTATATTTGTGCTACATATGAAAAAAAAAGAGGCCAGCCTGCCCCAGGCTACACACACATCAGTACCAGACTGAAAACATAACAGACATTCCAAAACTTATTTTCATCTCCCTATCCCAACAGCATCCTAACACCATTTGTAATGCAAGTCTCAATGCACTTGAATCAACAGCCATTTCTTTTACTATTAAGGAAAGTGGAAGCAGTAACAGACAGGGTCACCCAGGTACTGCTGAAGGCAAAGGCAGTTTTCCCTGCTTCCAGAGGTCACCTGTCAGGGAAGAGACACTCACCCTCCCCACCCCTTAGTGCCTCTTTCTGGTCATTCCAACTATTCATATCTTCCATTTGCACACCTGTTCCTGTTTCTGCTGTACAGGGTGCAGGGCTGGCCTGGATTACTGGCTACTCTGCAAATGTTCAAGTGACCAGAAGAAATAAAGAGAATGCAAGCATGCTAATGACAGATCTTCTAAGGCAAGAATGAAAGGAGAAGCATTTTTACTGGAATAATGGAAACAGTCTTGAAAAAGCTTTAGACAGAGGTTATGAACATTTAAATCCACTAGCAATTCAGAGCTGAATGGACTCATGAATTAGTTCAGCCACAGCTGTATGAACTCACAACCACAGAACAGGGCTGGAGTGCTCTGTATCAGGGTCACATACTGGTTTTCTGACACCTGTGTACTGAAATGACATACTGCCTTCAGTGATCCACAGTTATAAAATGTAAATCCCAAGTTAAGTAGCGGAATATTCTCATTTAGGAAGAATTAATAAAATATTACAGCTTTATAAGGATGAATTTAGCATTCTCAAGGCTTTTGGCAAATACTCAGTCTTCTAAGGGCTGTAGGAAAAGGAAGAGAATCCCATTTTCCAGAAGGACATGAGCTGCAGAGTCTGCATTTCCAAGGCTGTGTCAGTCTAATGATGGGCAGCTGCTGGACTAACCTGGTAAAAACTGGTTTTGTTTTGGACAGCTCATTTTTCTTTTGATTTAGTGTTCTGAAATGGCTCAGGAGAAGACGCAATCAGAGTCACAGCCAGTGTAAAGGAGGCAGAAGGAGCACAAGCTCTGGGGAAGGCAGCATCCAGCAGCTGGTGTGGGTGTCACTGCACCCCAAGCAGAGGTGAATGTGTTACATACATTTGTGTCACAGCTGACAATGCAATATGCAGTTTGCTGTCACCCTTGCAGTCTCCTCTTACAAAGCAAACCCCAGTTTCAATTCACTGAAAAATGTCTCTCTTGCCAAAGCAAGCTACAGCTCCAAGAAGCTGCAGAGTTTTTCAGTTCTAGGTTTTGCTGGACAGGACACAGAAAACAAGACAGAGATGAAACCTGCAGTAAGAGGCTTAAGAGACTTGAAAGAATGAAGTGATCAAGAGGTGTCATAGAAGCACCACTGAAGTTTGAACAATGATGAAATTTGGCAAACAGGTCAGAACTTCCATGATTCAACAGCCACCACTAGTAAACTTTCTCTGACATCTACCCAGAGTAATAGCAGAGCAAACTAACACATTGGCTGTAATGTAAGAATAATCTGAGCAAGTATTTCCACTTACCTGGTGCAGTAAGTGATAGTCAAAATTAGGGACGCTTTTATCTCTTGTTATTGTTCTCCGTAAGTGTTTTTCTCTAAAGAAGATTTTAAAGAAATCAAAGAAATTAAATGTCTTCACATAAGCCTTTCACAAAAGCCTCTCTCAGAAGCTCCACAAGGTGGAACTGTCTCACCAGAGACTGGCAGCTCCCTGACAACACCTTCCCAGAACTGCAGCCTACCCGCATTCCCTGTGTTTTACTATGGAATACACACCAGGGCTTAAAAAGATACTGAGCAAAACCCAACCAGTGAGTGAACACCACTAGAGTATTTTTAAGCAGTCTGGCTCTGAAATGCTTAACTCATGGTACACCAAGTATTAGTGCAATCCCAATTTTAGATGCATTTTCAAGCCCTCCCTCTCCACCCCGGTGAGCCTGTCATGCCCAGAACATCTGCCTGGAGATGTGACCGTGCCAGCCCTGCAGGACTGACATCCACTGGCACACCACCATGTCTTGTGTAACCACCCCTGACCCACTTTGGGCCTTTGTTAGCAGCTGCACTTCTCCTTTGCTTATGGGAAACAACAAACACACTCTGAGCAAGCTTCTCTGCTTACTTGTTAAATCTGTTAATTGATTGGACCAGTTGAAGTTGTCTGCTTATGGGATCATTGGCTTCCTCACAGGGCTTAGGATGCACTGGGGATTTAAAAGAAAAGGCAGCTAAAATTACAACTGAGTCTCACTTAGGAATTAAAAAACACAGTTCTGATTTTAAATTGACCATAAAACTGTAACAGTGCTACCTTGAATTAGAGTGGTGATTTGTCTCTGGAAATTTTAAAAACTTTTAAGTTGCAGATACAACCATTCTTCCTCAGATAAAACAACTGGCCAAGCTTCTGAAGAGACTGTAATTCTGGACTTTGAGGCCCTGAATTCTAGTTTTTACCAACCTGAAGTAACACACAGATGCTAAACCACCTCTTCATTAGTATTACTCACTCATATCTTCTATTGCTCTTTTAGAACTATTCAAAATATTTGAAGGAACTATTCTCAATTTTAGGTGTCAGCATGCTGTGGTTAATTGTGATTTTCTATTAACCAGACATTCACAATCTTTCTGAGGGAAGGAAGCAAGAGTTACTTTGAAAACTCACGGGTGCTGAAATGGGCACTCCTGCTCCTCATCTACCCTGACTCCTGCTTTGCAGCCTCCCTGTTCTCTTTCTACAGTCCTGGTGGCACCATGTCCTTTGCTGAGCTGCTCAGCACAGGGGGCACAGCTTTTCTTACATCCCCAGAGTAGTGAACTTGAAAATTCACCTGAAAAACTTCTGATCCAGCATAATGGGAGCAGTGGATAAGGCAGATCAGAAGCTGGGGGTGAGGGGTGAGGAGGGAGAATCTGTGGTCCTCAAGCTCCATCTCAGAGGCTGCTTAGGCACATTAAGATAGGGCCATGTGTCAAATCCTTTAAGGAGTGAAATAACTTTGCATCATTGAATATAACACAATGTTATTGCTAAAAAAGGGGAATGTCAGAGTTTACAGTGCAAGACAAAAGGTACCAAAAGGATGGTAACTCGTCCTCCCCAAGGCACCGGGGCCCTGCTGCAGCCCAGCTGTCTCTGCACCTCGTGGCCACACGGTGCCACCTCCTGCCACTTGCTCAAAGTCCTCTGCAAACTGTGCTGGAAGGTTCACAGTCACCTCTGTAGCTCTCATTCTGCCCCAAAACATGAGAGACAGTAACTAATGAAGAGTCACTCCCTGACCTGTTTTAGGGCAATATAATGACACCCAACAGTCATTTAAATCTGTTTTGTTTTGCACTGAAATGCACAGTTCCTACATGTCTCATTATATAATCTCAAATGTGGTGTTTTTTTATCTTTAAATGTTTTTGTAGGTAAAATTCACACATATACCCCAAAGTAGGTGAAAACTAAGTTTGAAGCAATGTCATGAATAGAATACAAAGTCAGCTGCATTTAGTTACAGTATTTTAGGTGTTACCTATCATACATATGAAAAATAATTGAATGTTCTGTTATTGTATGTACAGCAATTACATAAAATATTTTTTTATAGTCACCTGTGAATTCCTAAATCCCTTTTTATTCATACCAGTGGAAATATCACAGGTACCTTTTTTCCTTATCTTGCCAGTAACGTGCTCCTCACTCTCCTTCTCTGCCTCTGCTGATGTGGGGACACAGCTTGGTGCTGCTTCCAGCAACTTCATGATGTTTGAATTCTTGATTTTAAGAGTTTCCATTTTCACCATTATTGAAGAAAAAGAAAAACAACAGTACATTTTAGTATTTCAATCTGTGCGGAGTGTGTTAATTAATGCTTCTATGAATCAATACAACACGCATAAAAGAACTCACTATAAAAACAAACTTGTATCATTCTGAGCAGGGACAAAATTAGTGTGCCACGAGTTACACTGTAACACAGTGATGATGTTGGAGTCCTGACCTCTTATTTTAAGCTGCATTACTTATGGTTAAGCCGATTTCAGTTTAAATGGTAATATACATACCAAAATTGATTCAGTACAGAATTTTGTGGTCATTAAGCTACATCTCAGAGGCCATTTAAGCACATTAGGATAGGAGCCATGTATCAAATCCTTTAAAGAGTGAAATAATTATGTATAATTTAATATTACATATAATGTTATTGCTATTAATAAAGAGGAAGGCCAGAGTGATCTATTGCAAGATAAAAGGAACTAAAAAGTTTGAAGGGCAGAAGATAATGGGTGGGACAAGGAACCTTGCTGCCAGCACAACTGATTAGTGCAAGGTGTTTGTACATCCAGCTTCTGCTCTCTCTGCCATTACAGAGATTTGAATGTTAATTTTATTTAGGTCAGTGCTTCCATTCCTTCTAGACCCATCCTTTTAGTCTAGGATAACATTCTAGGAACACAACTGTTTCCCAGGCCCCCGGAATCATCGCTAGGCTCCAGGGAACAGGCATGTCAGCGTTCGTGTCCCCAGCGCAGTGTGTGCAGCCCCCTGTGAGCGCCCAGGGCTCGTTCCCGAGCCAGGCTGTGCAGCACTCACGGGCTCGGCGCAGTCGGCGGGGGTGCAGCCGCGCTGGTTGCGCAGGTGCCGCAGGGCGCCGTGCTGCAGCAGCAATGCCACCAGCGCCTCGCTGCCGGCGGCCGCCGCCCCGTGCAGGGCCGTGCTGCCCTGGGCGTTGGAGAGGTTCACCGAGGCTCCGTGCTGCACGGCAAAGGGAGACCACAGTCAGAAAGGAGCAGAGCACTGCAGCAGCCCCGGAGCGCACGCAGCCGGGGGCAGCCGCACCACCAGAGCCACAGAACCCACCTGGCCACAGCTTCATGGACCAGCTCACTTTGCTTTTGCATGTATTTATTACATATGCCAAGCTTTAGAGATACTTAAGAAACCCCCAACCCTATGTGACAGAATCCCTGGCAAGAAAACCTGACACCGTCCACGTAAAAGTTCCATAAAAACAGCTACCTGTACAATAGCGAGGTAACATTTATCTCATTAACCTCTGTGAAGGGATGGGATTCAAAGGAGTAAGTAAACAAAAAATCTCATTTCCTTCCCCAAGTATTTTCGACAGAGAAATGCATAACTAACTACTGATCCTGAGTACTGGGTAAGCACAGCTATCACATGAGAAACACCAGCAGAAGATTGTCTTCAGTGATCTTACCTGCAGCAACAGGGCAGTAGTCTCATAGTGACCATTCAAGCATGCATAAATTAAGGGAGTATTTCCATATATATCTTTTTTATTTTGTTTAGCATTGTAATCCATCAGACACTTTACCACCTATTGAAAGAAATAACAACTTCACTTTTACTGAGTAGGAGTACTGTGTTACTGAGTAAATATGAAACTAATTTTCATATTTAACACCTACTTTTTAAAAAAGAAAAATTTAAGCAACTACAAGAAAGGCCAGAAAATAAAATTAGAGGTGTGTGAAAAATGAATATAACCAGTAACTTAACAAAACATCAAAACCAAACCACCACAGCAGCAGCACCCTTTTCCAAACTGATCACAACACTTGGAAGGCGTTCTTTATACTGTAATTACCCCATTAACTAATCTACAACTATCCCATGACTTAACCTGCAACTCTGAGTTGTATTCTTGGTTTTTCTTGCTTCCCTAGTACTTAGTCTTCCTATCACTTTTAAAATTCTCTTCTTTTTCATCCTGCAGTCTTCAGCTCCTTATTTTTAAATAATTTTCCACTTTTCTAATTTTCCTAATTTTCTGCTTTTCTGCATCTTTCTATTTGCCTTTTTGCCCCTGGTTTTTCATGTTTGTTATTTCCTGTCTCATTTACTCTCTCTCCTGTATTGACACCCTCCCTCCATGGGCTCATGCTTCTCCTTCACTTCTTTTGCTTCCCTGACCTGAGTGAGGGATGAGATACCTGCTGCCTCAAAGCTGCACTAGGCTCATGATCTAATTAAGGAGTTGCAATCACAGTGACTATTTAGTACTGTGGCTACTGAAGATACCAAGACACAAACATGACCCAGAGAAGAAGGTACAGGGAACGAACACAGAAGATTCAGCTGCACAAGGGATGTTTAAAGGATTTGAAATACAACAGAAGGTTTTTGCACCACTTGCATTAAACCAGTATTTTAGGTCATATATGCTTACATATAAAGTCATATATGCTTTCATAAGGAAAAGATGTCTACTGAAACAATTTCATCTCAAAGTTCCCCTTTCCATCTGGAGATTTTAGACACTGAAAACAAAAACCAGAACCGCCAAACTCATTTTCTCTGCTCCTGGCTTAGTCTGGCTGCCAATTCCCCCAGGCAGCTTTCCTGGGTGCCAGGGCAGGGTTACCTGGGAGTGTCCCCTCTGGCAGGCCAGGTGCAGGGGAGCAGCCAGCTGTGCGTTCTTGGCGCTGGCGCTGGCGCCGTGGCGCAGCAGCAGCGATGCCAGCTCGCCGTGCCCGTGCAGAGCCGCCATGTGCAGCGGGGTGAAACCATCCTGGTTGGAAACATTCACCCCCAGCCCGCTGGCACAGACCTTGGAAAGCTTCTGTTGAGGAAAACACACAATGAAACTATAGTCATGCTTTGTTTTAATCAGTGAAACAGCCAAATACCTGCTAAGTTTATATAAAATGGGCAGATGGGCTTTACAAGAAATTCTAGAGCCTAATTTGAGGCCTTCAAAAAAGTCAGTGAAGAAGAGCAGCTTGGTAGTATTTTTCAACAGAAAATTATTTTATCATTATCTCTTTCCTTCCAACATGGTAACTTCATGGAGATCAATCCCACGTAAAGTATTCATGGTATTAAAAAGAGGCTAAAGCAGCACAGTTTGAGACAGAAGGAAAACTGAAAGTTTTCATACAGCTGTTAGGATGCTCATACTGGATATAAGGCAGTGTTAATGAGTTATTTTGATTTATACAGGTATTTATGTTCTTTGAAACAGACAATAAACACCTCAATGCTACATGAAGATTGGGGTACTAAGGATATAAATTAAAATTCATTTAATTCACCTGGAAGCAAGAGTGGCCCAGAGAACAGACTGCCCTGGGGAGTCAGGATAAGGAAAGCACCTGGAGGACAGTTTACCCAGCTGTACAGAACATCCTCTTTCACTCCTCTTGCAAACTGTGCCTGCCTGCCATTTACAGTGCTGCACAACCTTTCATCCTGCGCTTTCTACCTGTGCCTGCCTAACGCAGGGGTTAGGATGAACTAACAAGTTCCTTCTTCTCCTTCAGCAGACAAGTGATTCCACAGCAGATGCCATTCCCTTCCCTGCCAGCAATGGAACGAGCTTTATGGACTCTGGCATCTTTAGCACACGATCCCTGTTCTGAGGGCACAGGGACAGCCTCACCAGAGAACAAAGCACGGTGTGAATGTGAAGCATTCAAGGACAACAGCACGCTCTAAGCCAGCACAAAATAAACTGTGGGGAATTCAGAAGTTAAGCCATCTCACAGTGCTGTTAACCCCAAAGCAGCCAATCAACTGAAAACTTGTACTTGGGTTTATTTTACAATGCCTTATCCAGTCATGTACACCTTCAGACACCTCCTGGAAGGCAAGTTATGGAATTTCTATTTCCAAAAGGCTGGGATTGTTCAGTATGTAAAACAACAATAAAAAACTCAAACCAGAACCACATACACACACACACACAAAAACTACTCCAAAAAAACCCAACCAAAAAACAACAAAAAATCCATAGAAAGAGTGTATTGTAAAGCCTCCTTCTATTCTACAGAGTGTGGTAATTTAGGGGGAAGGAAATCTTTGCAACTGAAAAGAAAGTCTTTGTAATTCTATCAGATCTCTGAAGAGGCTTTAGATATGGCTTGTAGAAAAGATGCCATGCAAGTAAAAAAAGACTTTATCAGCATTACATGGATTCTGGGATTAGCAGGTATTCCTTGCTGAACTGATTACTAACAGATAAGTAGATATGCTGTGCCAGTAGCAGTGTAAACTAAGGAGAACCAGAAGCTTAGAAAAGAATGAATGTTTATCTAAATTTGCCCAAACTTTCCTGACAGCAATCCTAAAAGCAAACTGTGAAGCTTTCTCAATCCATTAGACACTGTGCAAGTCCATTAACACCCTTCCTGTATCCAAAATTTTCAACAATTCCATTAAAAAAAACCCATTTCATACCAGCAGATGAAGTGTGAAAATCTGTATATAGTTAACTTATTTTTGGAAGAGAGACAGAGGTGCTGGGCAATATGAATGCTATTTCCCTGGAGCTAAAATTTACAAGAATATAAATTATTCTTTTTACAGAATGAATATTCCAACCTTTTGTGCAGGCCCACATTTTGAACACTGGCATAATGGATGGCAGAATTCTGGTTTTGATGTACTGGCTGTGTCATCCTCATCTTCCAAGTCTTCTTCCACCCATTCCAAGAGATAACGGACCTGGCATAAAAAGCAAGTCCTTTTTTATAGAGTCCAAAAGTTCCATGTCCTAACAGATCTGCACATGTAGACAAGTCAGATTTGAGAAACACACGCTTGTGAGTCTCTCAGGGAGAGCACACAGCTACCTCCTGCCATCAGCTGCCCACAGGCCAAATTAAAAAATCAAGTGTTATTGTTGACAAAGCAGCTAGGAAGTTCTCCAAGTACAGTGAAGTGAATTATAAATGACTTCCTGCTGCCTAATCACAACTGCAGTGCTCACCCACTCTCAAACACTCCACATCCTTTCAGCTCAGACGATTTGTGCCAGCTCATACCAATGTGAATTCTGTTTCATCTTTTGCTTTAAAGAACATAAGGAATGACAAGGATGGCAACAGTTAACCCAAAACTTTGCAGGGGCACTGACTTTCCTTAGGTCTGTCACTTAGGAGTTGGACAGTTTTACTTTTCCCTCAATGTGCAGGGCCTCATTTTTGAGAGAGAGGCACTTCTGTGCAACCAGCAAACAGTGATGCTTAGGGCATTTAAATTTCACATTACATTTAATTCAACAAAATAAAAGCTGCTTAAGCAGTAGATTTTTACCTCGAAATTCATAAATCTACATTTCACTAAAGACGTTTTAGAATTAGCAGTGACTGTATTAAGTCTCCATTACTACTGGACCAAGCCAAGAGCTCTGCAGCTGCTAATCCAAGGGAATGGGGACAGTGGGATTTCTGAGTCACCCCTCCCACTCTGTTTACTCTCACACTTGTCACAGGTTCTGCTCCTCACCACTGAGGTCTGGGAAAACAACACATCCATGTCCTAGCCACTTAAAAACATGCAGCTACAACAAATCCTAGGAAGCCAGGAAGGGCCCTATACCTGATTCTGAATGAAAACATATTTGAGCCTGAAAAGCGATGTTTTTTACAGAATATTGCTTTCCCTGCAAACTCCATGTTGTTCTCTGCAGTAAAGGAAATCTTCTCCCAAGCCTGCCTGTTTATGGAAGGCCAGCTCAGCAAAGCTTTACCACTTGCTACATTTGTACATGTCTAAAATAAGCAGAACTCTCACTTCACTTCCCCCTTTCCCTGCAGACTCTCCAAGACTCTCACAATCGATTTCCTCCTCCCCCTGGGACAGCCCAGTACTGCTGCTCTCATTATCCAGTGCCCAGCTCCCAACATACTGATACCTGTGCCTCCCAGAAACCTGAACACACTACTCCTGTGCCAATTTCTTTATAATTACAGTGCAGTGGCCATTCTTATTGGTTTAAAGATATCTTTTTGTCAAAATATTAACTGTCCTTTCAAGTAGACACACACTGAACCACCTCAGGAGATTGCCCAGTCTCATTTGCCAGGTAACTTGTCACCTGAAAGCTTCTTTACACTGCTGGGTTACTTTGGAATACTCAGCTGAGCACCCTAGGTCTCTGTACCCTCACTTCAACCTTTCAGCTGCTCCACAGCATTTATTTCACACACGAGATTTGGTTTTTTTCTGTGGTAGATTTGCACATATCCTTCCACTGGACAGGCTGGGTACAAGGAGAGCACCAAATCCAGGAGCTATGCTGAGACAACAACAATCACATAATAATGTTATTTTTTTTTTAATCTTCCAGTTTTACAGCACTTTTTAATGCTTCCTCTTGCAAAGCTCAGTTGGCTGTCACAGCAAACATCTACAGCAGCCCTAATGACCTGGTTGCTGTGGCTGTTCCTATGCAGACAGACCTCAGGCTGTCAGAACAAGGTCAGAGTTTTTAAATACTCGTGGTTTTTTAATAGATATGCAATCTGTAACCTTTGTCATCCAGCTGGATGATTCTCCTTTTCTGAACAGCTTCACATGAACTTCTGTAATGAAGAAAGTAAAGCCACAAAAGACAAGGTGATTCCGTCATCTGAATGCACAGACTGGATTTCTATATGCTTTCTTCCTATATGCTTTTCATTGCTGGTCTCTGTTGAGCAGTGCTAGATACTAATTTTCCAGCAAGTTATAGCACTGTATTTCATTTTCTTGATGAAGTTTAGATTTTCACAAAGTGGGTGAAAAGTTAGCTGTAATACATGCACATTTACCAGTGGCCAGGAAAATGGCAAATGTCACCATTGTACATGTTACTGCTTCTTGAAAGGACTTCAGGGCTGGCTTGGAAATATTTACTTACACTAAGTCACATTGTAAACTAGGATAATGATATGCTGAACAGTTCTTTGCTCTATCAGCAGATAAATTATTTCCATCATCTCAGTGGAATAAAACATAAGAGAAACAGTATTAACATGGCACATATTTTGCAACATGGGTTTTCTATTTTCTGATGACTCTAGGAGGCTTCATTGGCATTTGTAACTCCTGGTACAAACCAAACCCAAACAGGTTTTTCAGAACATGACACCCAGCAGAGCAAACCTGCATTCTCACACAGCTTTATGGTTTTGTTCTGTGAACTACAGGAAAATCAAGACATCTACAGCCTTACACACATCTCCAAAAGCAGAACTCCTAAAGATTCCTGTGTCATCTTCAATTTTCAGTAGAATGACATTGCAAGTATCTTATTTTTTAATGAATAAAGGCAATAATAAATAAAAGAATAATCAAGACAGGTGGTACCACAAATTACAGAACATCACCTCTGGAATCGGTATTATTATATCATCAGCTGTCCATTTGAAGTGAAATCCAAACTTCACATTGTTGTGTGCCCCACAAATAGCATCTCTGTGCTGACTAGTGTCACCTGAATTTCCTCTTTACTTGAGGTTATTACCCAAAGCATTCTCCACTTGATACTATTTACAATTAACCTCCTCAATTTGAATGAGATAAAATGGAATTCAATAATATTCAACAGCCACATTAACACTCACCATTTCCAGATCTCCATCAGCAACTGCTCTCAGGAGTTTTTCCACCTACGTATGAAGAAAATTATTTATTTGCTTTGTTGGTATGGGTATTAAGCAGAACACAGAAAATCCTGTGTCCTTTGCTAACCTCCTAAGTTCATGCAGTAGGATTACTGCTGGCCCGTTTCATATTTATTGATAAAGTTTTAAAGGAAAAACCTTCCTCCTTTATGAAATGGAGAATCTGTGCAATGCCTGTGACCATTTGATGATCTCTGACTTGCTCAGTTAAACAGTACTTATCTAAATTGAGGATATGTGGCCCACCCATAAACAAAGCCATGTAAGCTAATATATATTATTATGCTGCTCCAGCAGCAGCTGCCCTGTGCATTTCTGTGTGAACCCAATGTTAACAATGCCTGCTCAAGGCAAATTCCTACCCTAATATACACTAACACTGGCTGGACTCTTGCTGAGCTGCTCTATGCTGCTCTCATTATCCAGCACACAGCTCCCAGCATATTGTGCCAGTGTCTCCCAAAAACCTGAACACACTACTCCTGTGCCCATCTCTTTATGATTACAGTGTACAGTGTCATTACAGGAACACAAAGCTATTTGAGAAACAACAGTTTAAGATGAAAAAGATGCTTTCCATTTGCTACCGTTACATCTGCAGATATCTGGTTTAATCCTGCGATAAAACCAAACATTTACACATCTGACTTGACTGTAAGTATGAAATTTGTTTTCTTACTTAAAATCTGGAAATATATAAATACTAGAAAGGGCATACACTGGGACCAGCACCAGCATGAGCCCACCTTAGTGTAAGGGGAGGCCAGGGCCCCACTGCTGGGGGAAGGTGCTTGCCTGCTCACAGCTCTGCAGGGGGAACACACACGTTAGGGAAGGAGAGGTGGAAGGAGCTCTGCAGAGCACTGGTGCCATTCCCCTGAGCCTCAGGCTGCTTGTGAAAGCAGGAGAAGGAGATCAACTTGCCTCTTCACTTCTCCAATTCTCTACTCTCACATGAAGGAGTTGAGATCCAACCTGACAGGAATGGGAAAGGTGCCAGCAAAAGGGCAGGGAGAGTCCATCAGTCCTCTCACAATTCACCCGGCTCCGCAGAGTGTCAAGAATCATTTTAAAAGCTTTGTGGAAGTCTGTTTTAGCATTATAGCAATTATTCCAGCACTCTGCTAGAATCACTGAAGATGCTAATGGGTAAACACACTTGTTTCTATAGTGAGGAACACCTTGCAAGTTGGAGATGTCATGGAGTGACAGCTTCAGTCACATTTCCATTTCATATGGAAATTACCACCTTGCCGAGTGTGACAGTGGTGTTTAGCAAGGCAAACAAGGAAGAATGAGACTGAAGTTTGTGTTCTATTGCTCTGATCTCTTTCTTCAGGGTTTCAGATGAAGAACAGGACACAAACAGCTGAAAGATCAGAAGCCAGATTAAATCTCTCAATTTTTATCTCTTCTTAGGAACACTGCTAAGTTTGGGTTTATTACCACCTTTCTAATACAGGATGAAAGCCCTTGGAGTCATGCACTGGTCACTCCAGGCAGAATCTATGATTCTTTGATTTTTCTTTCCTAATTTTGAATGTCTAAAAATCAGCTGTCTGAATCTCAGCCAGGCCTTTTATTTTTAAACTCCCTCTCTGGTAACGACAGAATGGAATGCAGTCAACAAATAACACCTGAGTGCAACTCAGGTCAAACTAAGCATGTCTGACATTAACTCCTCTCTGAAGTGAGTCTCCCTCCACTGACTGAGGAAGGGAAACAAATGTATGAAGTGAAGACAACTGTCTTCCAGAAGCTGGGTGAAATAAATCCCAATCTCTCTATAAATACAGCTAAAATTCACTATATACAAAAGGGAGGTCTGTGCCTCCCCTAAACTTCCCCTAATCATACAGAACAATGTCACTGAACAATGCAGAGGTCTTAAGGACTTTTCAGGCGTCACCTTAAGGACTTTTCAGGCCACACAAGATGCCCAACATTAATAGCAGTGACCCACAAGCTCTGATAATTTCTTTCCAAAAATAACAACTTTCTCAAAGTACTAAATGCTATCTCAGGCCCCAGCAGTGGTACATTTGTTATGCAGCTTATAGATAATTTATTAAGAGTACTTTGGGCAAAATGTCTGCTACATGCATTTCCCCCTCTTTCCAGTTTGTTTTCTCACTCTTCCATGGAACAGAACCTTCCTTTAAATGTAAAAATAGAAGACACAAGCCTATTACAATTCACCTGCATAGCCAGTTTTTCAGCTGCTGAACAGAAACTGTGCACGGAGATTTTAGTTCCAACAGAGCAAATCCCAAATTTACAATCCTTGCTCTTTCACTCTCTCTTTTCTAAGTCATAATAAACAAGCCACTATGACTGGCTCATTTTAAAGTTTAATTCAGTATTGCTTAACCAAGATCTGACTGGATGCCCTTAATCCAAGGTGGAAACCTTGAAATTTGGAAAACTGACTGCACCAGTTTCCATTACTTCCAGTGGTGATTCCTCCATGGAGCTCTCTCAGCATCAGGCTCTTGCCTCTTTGAGCAGGGAGCCCAGGTGAAACTTGGCAAACAGAAATCAGCTAAAGCTGGATTACAGAGAAGGTCATTAACTGCAAGGACCTCAGGTGTAAGCAGTTTGTAATCTTTTTCCCTGATCTGAACTACAGTCTTAGCACTTGGGTGTGATAAATTTGTTCCTTCAAAGAAAAATAAATCCTCAATCTACAAGGAGAATTTATTTAGAGTGCTTGACTCTGCACCAAACAGGGAGGTCCAGCCCTACACTGAGCCTCTCACAGAGCAACTCAAGTGTGACTTCATATTGTCCAGACAAAATTTGCATCTTTGTGTTTCTTCAATATTTTTAGAAAACTGAAACTTCTGGCAGGAGAAGAACCTTTTAATACCAGGAAAAGAAAGAATTTGAATGTAGTGGTGATATTGAGAGAAACAAACATACTTAGGAGGTCAATTTGGAAAAAAATAATGAATAGGCAGACCAGGAAAATAAAAAGAAGCATCAGAATGAGTGGTGGTATGACAGTCTTGGGAAGGGGTAATGAAGTATGGATCTGAGACCTCACAGGAAGAAATTCAGAGGATGCCATCTGGTGTGGACAGAGCAAAATCAGCAAACACATACATGCAAGATATTTAATATATAGTCTGTACTTGTTCACTTGTTACAAAATTGATTCCCATGCCTATTTGAAAGCATGTCTTAACATTCCAGTTTGTTGTTTGCCAGCATGGCTGTACTAGTCTCTTTTCCCTGACAGATTTGCTAAGCTAACAGTGGCACTTAATTCCTGGATAGGACAGCCAGGGCCTTGGGGCACTGTCTGCCAGTGCACTTTGGTAAACCTCAACAAATTCTCAAATTACGTAGTTAACTTCAATAAATACAAACAACTACTTCAGAAATGGTGTCAATTTTCCCCCAGAAATAACCAGCAGAGCTGTTGAAACCACACAAAGATAAGTGCTCAGGTACTGAGATGACAATCCCCTGAGGACAGCAGTAATCATTTTCCAAACCAGACAGAAGGCTATTCCTGAGGAAGAAGTTGAAAATGCTGTGACAAATTATCACTCTTCTAGCTTCCTTCACTTTGCTTACTGTCAAAACCTATACCTCAGTCTTACCTCTTTATAACTGTTTTTTGCTTCTTCTTGCCTCAGATCAGTTGATGCTGATGACAAGCTTGAGACAGATGATCCTCTGCTGAAAGTTTCTGTTGAGTGCTGAGGAGACCTAAGGGGTGACTTACAGTTGGAAAAAAACATATAAAAATCAATCAAACAAACAAAAAACAACCAGAAAAGGTTAAATATCAAATAAAGGAGGATAAGCATAGGCAAGAAATAATTCAGCAACTTGCATGGGCTGTTACCTCAGAAGCACTCTGTCCTCTTTCAAATGTTAGGTAGTTTACTTCCATCAATGACAAAATCTGCACAAAAATATTAAAGAGAACCAATGTAACTCCACTCACAGAGGAATCTACTAACTGAAACACAAATCAGCTGACAACCTAATAATGAGCAACAGAATATGACTGAGCAGATGAGAAGTATCCATTTACAAGTTCATGTTCTATCCCACAGAGTGTGTTTCCACTGCTGGAGTTAAAATGGGACCTTTCTTCCTCAAAGTGAAACACACATTTTTCTCTTTAATAGTGAAACCCTATTAGCAGTGAACACCTCCACCTCTGTGGTGCTGCATCAGAAAGAGAAGAAATCAGAAACCAGGCTGGAAGATAAAGAGGAATACCTTGGAATTCAATGCACACTGCAGAGAAGTCTCTTTCATGCGGTTCTGAATTTCTGGGTTTGCCCCATTTTGCAAGAGCACTTCAATGATGCCCTGATAGCCCCAGCGAGCAGCAATGTGCAGAGGAGTGTCTCCCTTCTCATTGCCAATATCCAGCCTGCAGGAGTGCACATCATAGTACACCAAAGCCTTGACACACTGGGAAGAAAAGGAAAGCTATAAATAAATTATAGTGGTGTGTCTCAGTTCAGACAACAGGCACAGTCCTAAAAGGTTTGTTTTTATTGCTGCTTATGTAACCCATTACCTAAAGAGAAGGCTTTAGTGGTTCGCTGTCATTAAATAAAGAGTTAAACAACTAGATTTGCAAAGCACTGCTATCTTTAATGTGAAGTCACATTAAAAATTGCTATGAACTACCAAATAAAGTCCTTATTTAAAGCATTAAACAATTTGGCCTTCAAATATTTTTATTTACTTTTTAAAATATGTAAGTTTAGTGCTAATTTGCATCAGTTTAATTCCATTGCATTAGAATACCCATTTGGTTTGATACAAAACAATTACTTACATCCTCATGACCATAAGTGCAGGCTAAATGAAGTGGAGTATTTCCATTATTGTCCTGAACATCAGTACTTGCCTTGTAGTGCAATAAGAGCAGCTTAAAAGAAAAGCAAAAGTAGACATTTAAGTAGCTAAAAAATTAATGTACAAACAATTATTGCTCTGCAGATTCCTTTAGGGCTCTGGCATGATGAAGCACTCCATGAGACACTAGCTCTGCCTCCTGTTTCAGACACCACCCTCTTGGCACTGCAGCACTATTTGTACCCTACCCTGAGAATCACAAAATCTCTTCTCACATATTCAGAATTTTAATTGGAAAAAATTGATTCTGTACTGCAGCATACACTGCAATATATTCACTACATCATCTACCTCACATTTCAAGAGCTTATGCAAGTGAAGACAACTTTATTTCAACAATGCTAATTGAAGAATACCACATACACTAAATTCAATCGGACAACAATTACTGCAGTTGCACAGTCTATCCTAAACACAGTGTGAAGCATTTAACTCAGCCCAGTGACTGCAATGGTTGTTCTGTCTCAAGCAAGAGCAGAGATGGTCTCCTTTTGCATTATGTATTGGGCATCTGTGTTAATAAAGTGGATGGATTGTGCAGAGCTGCCATCTGGTTATTACCAATGGCTGAAAACCTTGCAGTAGGAGAAAAAATAAAATATCTTGCAAACTCCAATGAAGAAAGAGCTTCCATTCTGACAGCTTCTGGTAAAAGCTCCCCAGAAGAGCTAAATGACAGTAACAGTAGCAGAGCTTAGTAAGAGTGATGTGTTTATTATTTAGGTTAGGTGTTGTGCTTACTGTAACATTCTGATATCCCTTCTGACAGGCGAGGTGAAGGGGAGTTGAACCGTGGTAATCTGTGGCATTGACAATGGCTCCTTTGGCTACCAGTAAATCCACTAATGACGTTTGACCTTGGAAAACAAGCATCCAAAGAAAGGTGTAAACTTTGCACAAGAACACTGCCACTTTTCAAATTCAAACAGTGACTATAAACCAAAATAACCTGCATTTCTGCATACTGTGTTTCCATATACTGCATATTCACTGCCTTGGTATTTGGATTTTTTTGTGGCAGATATTTCAATGTCAAAGCCCTGTAAAAGAACTTCCAGCTAAAAGCAAGCTATATTTGTATCCTACAAGTAACAAAAGAAAATATTTAGAGTCAATAGAATAACAAGAAAGGAAATTATAAATAAGAAACCACCCACTAAGAAAATAATACAGCTTCTAATAAAAGCAAAATCAATTACATAATGAACATTACAATACAGGTGTTACAGATCTACAATGCATAGCTAGCTGCAGGAAAGAGAAAAGTAATTTCTCAATCTACCAGTCCTTTAAAACAAACCAGAAACCTCCTGGTTTCTGAGGATACATTTTTACTTTTTTCAAAGCTGAAGAAAGCATCACTGTGGTAACCCCTATGGCAAAAGTAGAGTCAACAACCAAAGATTAACTCAGCCATAAGAAACTGAGCTTAAAAGAATATACAATGACTTCAGTCTGTGCTCAGATAGAAACAGCAAAGTTTCAATTGCCAAGAAGCAAAAAAACAACTTCATGCAGAATTCCAACTTTAATACAAAGGTGGGAAACAGGCTGACAAAGAACACAGAAGCAAAAGGAGTAGGAAACACTAGTGAAGAACAGCAATCCCACTCACCACAAATAGCAGCTATATGAAGTGGAGTATATCCCCGGTCATCTCGGGAAAAGGGAGTGATAATGGAAGGGTCATTCAGTTTCCTTTAAAACACAATGGTTTGAAAGCAGCTTAATTACCCAGGTGGTGGTAGGAAAGAGGAGGGAAAGGGAAAAGCTGCCAAGGATGGTAAAAAACTGATTTTGGAACTTTTTATCCTTTTACATTGACAAATTATTCCATTAGATTTTGTTAAGAGAAGTGGGTTAGTCCCAGATCTGTAAGTTTGATTGAAGAGAAGAAGCACCACGTTCACCAAAGCCCACACAGGCTCCATCAGAGAACGGGTGGGTTCCAAAGGATTCTGTATGCTCTCAATAGATCTGATTTTTCAAACCACACCCACCCACATGCTCTCTACTACATCCTGAAGTGCTCCCAAATTCCTCTATAACCAAAAGCAGCGTAGTTCCTGAAGCAAATCTTAGATAAAGGCTTTTACACAGCTTTCTATGCATTTGTGGGGTGAAGAGTGCTCACCCAGAAACCAGCTTCTCGCATTTGTCACAGTAACACAGCGGGTGACACATTTTCTGTACAGTGTCCTTATCACTGTCACCTTGACTTAGCAGCCGCTCCACTTCCTCCTGATCACCTGAAGCAATATGCTACAAAAAAAAAAAAAACCAAGAGGAGAATGAGAAACCAATATAAAAGGCCTCCTTTTAAGACAAAAAAAAGCCAAGAGTAATTTACTGAAGCACAAAATGAAAGGACTCGATTATGAAAGACGTATTCAAGCATTAGAAAGCAGAAATGAACAATGTCACAGCACAAAACCCCCTAATGGGCATTCAGTATTAAAAAGAAACTGTTCTTGGCTTACTTCACTTTCTATAAAAAAATTAAAATAATTCCTATTGTTCTCTTTAGACTCAATCATGAAATTGAGCTCCCTCTGTGCAAAAACATGTCTATAAAATTACTAAGTCTCCAGCCATAAGCTGTGAACACATATAATTAGAAGCTCTGCTTTGTGTCCTTGTATAGGCAAAATTCTTTTAGAATGACAGTGTGAGATTAACAGATAACATGAAGTAGCTGTCAGGTGACTACATTTAAATTATTTCAGATAACTCTTCCAATTTCAAGTACTAAAAGCTGTGAGACACAAGCAGTATCACATCTGTGCATTAAATGGGTCACACAATACCAGCAGCAGAAGCATTTCATCCTCATTTGCTTCTATATTTCATATAACACATGCTGAAATCCATAAGATTACATTATGTTAGCAAGGCTTTGGCACAGAAAGGTACTCAATTCAAAAGACACTTTTAGCATCTACTAAAAGACATTTTACAGTACTAATGTAATTAACCCTTCATTACATTCCAGAGAATTCCAGTTGTAATTCCATACAACTGCAGTAAGGGATAGATATAAATATGAAATGTGCAAATACATATTCTGCCATAAAAGTTACTAACCTTAAACAAGCAGTCTATTGGTGCAGCAGACATCTGGGACAACAAGTTCATCCTCTGTCTTAAGAGCAGCTTGTCACACAGACTCTCAGATTCCTGGAAATAAAACAGATTGATTATTTATATAGACATCTACAGGCAAAAGTGCAGAACCCTAACAGTGGAATTAGCTTTTAAAAATACTAAACACTTATTTACTATGTATGAATTATCAGACACGTGAAATCTGAATCAGTTTCACTTTTAAGATTCTGAGACATAAAAGACTGGGTACTCCTAGAAATAAGCAGATGTCCACCAGAATATTCCTTTACTGAAATTGACTGTGAATTAACATTAATGAAATTATGGCAGTACCATCTTAAAAAGAACATAGCAAAACTAAAAAATACATATCAAAGAAAACATGAACTGTAAGAGGTAAAACACAGCTTTCTCAAGAGGAGAAATTAAGGGAAATTCACATAAAACATGTCTACTGATGGCTACTAAAAATGATGACCCAGATACAACTCTGACTCAAAGAATCCTGAACTCTGCTGCTGGCTGAAAAATAGAATACTGCACGAGGCAAAGCATTGCTCTGCAGGACATCCATCTGTGTAGATTTCCTACTTGGTTTGAGCTAAGCAGATACAGCTGCAACCCTTGCATCAGTACTTAGAGACACCTAAAGATACACTTCAGGATGCACTGAAGAATGTAAATGCCTCCAAAGCCAGGTGAAAATTATTAAGTGGAGTTAGATTTTGGGTTCCAGACCCTCCCATGAAATAAAACAACAACCTAATGAAAACACTTCCTAAGAATGCAGATGGAAACTTTTGCACATGGTTGGTTCTGATGCACAGCTGCTCAAGGTTGGCAGTGGTGCTGTTGTAGGATAATGGCTCTCCAGAAATGGAAAGACTTCAGCCTCCATAAAAGAGAAAACCACTGCATTTACGACACACACCCACGTGTATCAGGAAAACTTCGATGGTTTAGGATCTGGGCCATGGCTTTTGCAATTGAAGTCTGTCAAGAGCAGATGTAAATGAGTAAAACCAGTCTGACTCCACCCTTACATTAGTAAGTCAGGATGAAATTTGAGCCTCATAAACTGCAAATAAACATCAGTTGATTCAGACTTTCTAGAAATTAGGACTAATCATGTTTCAAAATCAACACAGATGCCTCTCATAAAGCTGTCCAAAAAACCCTTAAGAGTTCAGCAAATAACATCATTAAAAGCATGTTTGTGAGGTCTGGAGATGAAAGTTTTTCTCTGTACTTCTCAGGATTTAGAAACATAAAGATGACAAATATTCACCAATCTTTTCAGATCTGCAGTTTAGCTAAGGATACTCGACATACCTTCTCAGAATTACAAGGCATATAACACTAGTGTCCTTGGATGGATTTTTCACTCTGAACAGGAACAACTTCCCTAAGAAATATTTGATCAAAAATTTAACTGCTGGTAATGTCTAATCAGAATTTCTAGTGTGGATGCTCACAGACAGCTTTACATTTTCACTGTGGAGAATCTAATTAACCATGAGCAAGAACTACTGTAGTTTTAGAACTGCTCCTTCCACAGTGTGTCTTCAAGGGAAGCGCTCCCCAAGTAGAATCATTCTTTTAAGAGAGTCACATGAGACAGTAACCCTAACGTAGCAGTATTATATATTTATTATATAAATCAGAATAAAAAGAGCTCAGGTGATACCACATATCTTCAATAGTGAAATATGGAATGAAAATTATCAGATATTCACTGAAGGATTAAACAAGTTTGGGCCTTCAAAGCCAGAACTCACTTGTACCAGCTTTACTTACAACCCAAGAACTTGTATTTCTTTTCAAAAGCCGTTGCTTAGAGTGGGACTTTCAGGTATTTTAAGGGTATGTTGTCTAGAAAATACACACCCAAACATTAATGACCTTTTTAATCTAATACTACAATGTGTAGAAAAGGAAAATATTTGTACCTATGAGAGTATACCTTTGAAATCATCTACCCCAAGACATTCTCACAGATTACAACTGATAACTTGGAGGCAATACAGGTGGCAGAAGCCAGAAGAGGAGCACAAATTAAGGGTAATAAAGTGTTTGGTGAGAGGGGGAGTAGGGATCATTTCCCCATCTGAAGTTCTTCCCACACATGAAACAAAATGCTGCCTATTCCCTCATGGCTGGCTCTGACTCCCTATTTTTTATACCTGACTTGAACCCTCTGAACTTCAGTCTTACTACACATTAGCTGTGCCAAGGAACGAGCTAGTACCAAACACTTGTTAACAGGAATTCTAATTGAATAATGAAAATTCAGAAAATAAAATTGACTATCTCATGCTTTACAGGCTCCTCTCTTCCCCACAAAGTGTCTGACAAGGACTTCCATGACCTTGGGTGGAGGGATTTGGCAAGAACATCCCGAGTGCAATTCACTTACTGACAGGAGGGTGAGAACATGCCCATTATCCCTCAGGGTACATTAGTTCCCTGCTGAGTTTCTTTCTGGAGTAATCTTCATTAGGGATTGGACAGCAGCATTACTCAGCTGCCAGCAGCTCCATCTGAAGCCAGCTATAAAATTAAGCATAACCACATGAGGGGCTGTAATGAAGCCCCAGGGCACAGCAATGCTCCTGCTCACTTCAACCCCACACCCCCTTCCAGCACAGTCTGGAGAAGGAAATCATAGGGCAGCAAGATGACAGCTGCTGCTGCTTCAAAGTTCATCCCGTTTACCAGAGAGTAAAGGAAATATCTCAACTGGTAACTTCATGAAGGGAGAGCAATGCTCCTCTACCTCTTCATTATTCTTTTTCCATTTCCACCTCAGTCTCTTTTCATTGTGTGCCACCTTCTCCTGCCCAGGAGAAAAGGGTGGTCTGGCTGTTTCCTTTCCAGCTGTGTTAAGGGCAAGCTGTCCCTCACTTCATCCTCAGGGTTCTGCTGCTTTCCAGCCAAGCTGACTCCAAGGAAAGGCAATGCAGGAGGACTTTGTGTTGCACATTCACCCTGAAGTGATGAAGTTCTCTAGGTCTGGAGCTGATCCAGCTGAAGTATGGACAGGAACACTAATGGCTTGTTCTTCTCGTGGTGCAGACACTGAATTCCTCACTTAAACGTCTCAAATATATAGTTTATCTTTCAGGACAGGTCCCTCCCAAAGAACCACAGTACCTTAATGGAAGTGGCACTTAAGTTACAATATTTGAATGCAATCCCAGTATAAAAGCTGCTATCCTTAACTACACCAAGACAGATAGGATCAGGTATTTAATAGGAAACAGTCTTTATTCTAGAAATTTAAGAGCAGTATATTCTTAGTTTGCTGGCATTGCTGTGGAAGACAAATCTGCTTTGGTTTCAGTTTTCTTTCAGCACTGCTCTTTGTGTATTGATTGTGAATGACAGCCAAGTGACTGCAGGAAGCAAAATCATATAGCAGGTTTTTTCTTTCAAGCTAGCATTTTTATTTTTTTTTTACAATTCAATTACAGACAAGAAATACCACTCTTTGCACAATATGAAAGTGTTGGTTTGGTTTTTGGGTTTTTTTGAGTGTACAAAACAAACTCGCACAAGTTTATGGAAAAATCCCAGGAAAGGACAAAACCAAAAATAACAAGAGGCCAAAAATGTTACATTAAGTGCTTCTTAATACTGTGCCCCAGGCTGTCCCATCCCAAGCCCTGCACACTGAACCACTGTTCTGGCCCCTGCAGTTAGACTCCAGTGCTTTGCAGCTGGGCAGACTGAGACACATTGAATTCACTCTGGTTCCACGTTCACTCCTTTTGATGTCCACATCAGCTCAGGAAAACCTAGTTTTACAACAGTAGAAAATTTTACAGGAGTGGTAAGACTGGATTCCTTGACTAAATAATCTACAAAGTTCTTAAATTATAGAAGTCTCCAAAGTCACATCAGCATCACCCTTGACTGGCCTGCAGGGATGTGACCAGATTGACAGCAGGTCTAGCTGCCCAGTAGGAAATCTCTCATGCATCCATAGATTTCCTGCCCCTGCTAGGTCAGAGATCCCAAGGGCCAAATTTGTCCTTCAAACAGCACCTCATCACAGCCCTGCAACCCAACCCCCCTAAGCCATCAACTCAGTGCAGCACTGAAACCCACACTGGAAACACATGGAATTCTTCCAGTATGAACATGTACTGAATAATTCTAAATTACACTGCTATCTCCATTCTGCTAGCACAGCTAAGCATTTTTAAGTTACACAAAAATTTAAGCTGTGCCTGCTACTACAAGGTATCAAGCACAGGACAGGCTTTAAGAGTAGCTTACTGTTGATCTGTCAGAGAGGTTGCCCTGCCGGATGTACTCTATTGCAGCCTCGATGGAGGTCAGGCAGTACCCCAGCTCATCCTTCACTGAGCTGCAAAGCCTGAAGTTCTTGATGTAACTCAGGTTGGCCATCCTGAAAAGAAAAAGGTTAAAGTTGTGAACCACTGAAACTAAGACACTAGCATGGCATACTGCAGCTCATCTTAGGCAATCCGGGCAGACAACAGGGTGAGTTGGAAAAATGCTTCTAAAAAGCTTCTTAAGCCAGCAATATGGTTGTTCTGAGCTTGCAGAGCGACCAGAACTCTACTTATCTCTTAAATATTCAATGAAGAGTTACCAACTGGATGGAAGGAATAGAAGGATAAGGACAATAATGGGAGATCAACATCTTTGAAGTGAGAGAAGCAATGTTTCCAGCACCATAAGCACCACAGTGATAGCTACAAGTTAAAAGGCCAAATGCTGATCTCAGAGATCCAGGATAAAACAGCACAGAGAATCAGGTCAGGTACAGCTGGAAGGTTTAGATAGACCTTTACTGAAAATGAGGAGACAATAGCACAAGCTGGCAGGAAGTAATTAAACATTCACATCTAGTTCCTCTGTAAGAAACACACCAAATCTTGAAATGCATAAAGGTGTCACAGCTCCCAACACAGACGAGAGAATCACTCTGTGAAGGCTGTATTGACACACAGATTGGGTTGAGAGATGGCCTCCCACTACAACTTTTTTCTAGGCTAATGATCAAAACAAAGGCACATTCCTGATAGCTCCTCCATTTAGTTACACATATAACATATCTTTGCTATTTGTCCTATAAAACATTTTCTGCATTTTAACAGGACCTTACACTTCCAATAAGTTATTACTGTATGTTCAGAAACATTTGTCCCTACAGCAGCACTACACAAGATGGTAGGAAGGAGTTCTGTATAACTAAAACAGTTACATACCAGTTTGGGATTTCTGTTTTTACAAGCAAATACAGCAAAACAGAGAGAAGATCATCTGCACACATGGTTTCCACGTTAACTAAAAACAAAAATTTGGTATTAGCCATGTCATGGTTCAAATCAAGAGCAATAATTCTAAAGTTCTGCCTCTTGAGACTGAGGGCCAGCTCTACTAGTAGAGAATGCACGGAGAGCCCGGGGCAGGCCTCCAAATGTTCTCAACCTCTCACTGAAACAGTCTGCCAGGAGCCAACACACAGATGCAGTTTGTGCAGTACACACTGCAATATTTGACTAGCATCCCTCCCTTCCCACACAGCAAGGGCCAGAGCATTAGCTCAAGATTTCTGAAATTCTTGAGGGCAAAGAGTACGCTGAAAGGTGATACATTTTTCCATAACCCAGCAGTCTTCCTAGGGAAGAGATGAAGTAGGGAAAGCATAACTTCACTGTGCTACTCTCTTTGCTTTGTAGCAGTATCTTCTCTTTTTAAGCTAGATAAAGTAAGTGCCAGGTTAAGAGGACTGTGCTTTTGGATCATAGAATCAGGTCTACAATCCACAGCAACACATTTGTTTAGCCCCACCCATCATTTGCATTTTGCAAAAGATGCATCTCCAGAGTCTCAATTTCAAGATGTCAAGGGGAGCATAGAAAAATACACAAGAATAATCTAGCAACAATCTCCAGTGTTTAAAATGGAACACCCTCAGTGTCCTGGCGGATGTGAGCTTCCCACATGTTCAACCTAAAACATACACAAGCTAACTCAGTACCCCACCTCAGCCCACAAGAACCAGTGCTGACACATCTACCTCACTTCCCTTCCTTTCTGCCTTGTTCAGAGACCTTAGAGACTCCAGCTCAACTGTGCTTGATCCCCAAGACCTATCCAAAGTTGTTTGTATACTGAAGCGCTTTGTGGGTGCTGGTTAAGTTTAAAGTTATGAACTGACTAATTACTGACCTCTTTGGCTTGGAGACTGCATGATAATTTGTACAACTTTGCGCAGACAAAGCAGCTTCTGTTGAGGGGAAGTGCATTTGTTCAACTGACCCAGCTCTCGCTTTGCACGTGGTATATTAAAACTACAAAATAATTAGAAAGAAATGATTAGCATACAGAGTTCCTCTGCAGGATGCCCAAAGCCCAAGTTTAACTTATTCAGAGCTGAAATGAAGAATGGTTCCAAAATACTCCCACTTCTACTCCCAGTGCACCTGCATTTCTGTATCCTGTATATGGCTTAAAAATATAAAAGTAAAGGAGTCAACCATCAATGCACAGAGTGTCCTCATATGACACTTGCAAAGCTTTGATGTTACATCTCAAATGAAAGTACAAAAAAACTTGCTAGTGCCTGAAGGAAAACATTTTGGCTGGCATGATCCTATTTAAGACAGGATCTCAGTGACTCTTCAAGAATCCACACTCGTCTCTCTCACCTGAACTCAGGCTTCACTCCAATGTCTTTTTGCTGCAGGTCTTGAAGGCTCCTCGTGATTTTATTAAAATCAGCATCCTAATTAATAGAAAGGCAACAGGTTGTTTTAAATGCCTTAGAAGAATATCACTAGTATGGAACAATCAAAGAAACTTACCTCACTCGCCTCAATCGTCCCCACATATTTGAAGATTAGGTCATAAATAGCATGATGGATATACATCTGTAGAAAAAAAAAGTATTTTAGGCATGAAAAGGAGAATTAAGAACAGCTTGCTAATTATTTTCCTTCATTTCAGATGCTTACTTCAACTGCTTGTTTGATCAGATTCATCTGCTCTTCTTGCTTTGCAAGCATCTTCTAGAAAAGCAAAGCCATAAACAGCAAGAGAAAGTCAGATAATTTATTGCCTAAGTAACACTGTACTATGTATTTAGGGGAGTAAGTCTTTACCAAGTGTGAATCTCTCAAAAGATGCTGCAGACATTTGGTATAAAGTGCATTAACAGAATCCTAGGAGAGAGAAGAGATAACAGCCATCAGGTTCAGGTCAATGGGACTTGGAGGAGCAAAGCCTAAATAAGTAATGTAAGTCTTCCCTGTCTCAAAAGTGTACAGTATGGTAAGAGTTTTAGCAATAATAATTGCATTTACTAAACTAAGTTCAGATAGTGAAATTCTCAAATGTGAATTACCACTTCTCCCTCCTCCCCTTTCACAACTTTAGGCTACTCTGACACAGAAAAGCTCAGTAAGACAAAGATAATAGCACCAGTGAAGCTAATTATATTTAGTAAATTAGACATCAGGAAGGAAGATACTGACTATGTAGTGACGGAGGCTTTTCCTTTCGTGTTCTTTAAATGTTCTATAGAAAGATCCTATGTATTTATCAAATCTCTCACAGTGCCTTCCCAAGAACTCTCTAACATCTTCAATGTTTTTAAGAGAATAGGAGTTTGATGAAGCTGTAGATTCACCTAAAATAAAAGCCAAGAATTAACACACAGGCTTAATATATGTATTAATGGTAAATTACATTTTGTCCCTAAATATACAGCCAGCTTGTGTACACTGAAATATGAACTCAGCTCACTGCACCTTTAACTAGAGGTATTGCCTTTAATTAAAAGAATTTAATGAGTCACATTTGAGCAGGCTCCCCTGCTTTTTGTGTCAAGTGTTTATTTGGAATAGCTAAAACAGATTTCACTTATTTTTTTACGTTGGGATCATTTATTACCACATGCATTCAGCTTATGAGTTGTGTAAGTCAAGCTTGAAAGTAGAAGAAAAGCACATTACAGTGTTGACAGAGTGACCATGCAGGACGTCAGGGTGCTTTAAGTGAGCTGCAAAAATCCCATCGTGGACTTTTATGTAAGCTATTCTTTATTTAGACAAGCCTTCTCTGAATGGGAGAGCAAAGTTACATGGAGCAACATTAAAGCAAATCCACTTTTTTTATGAATAAGACAACTGAATCGAATCCCTCACTCAGGAATCATGCTCTTTTTCAAAAATTCTTTCTAGGCAAATCTTTCATCTTCAGTCAAAGCCAGCCAGCTAATAAGAGGCTTAAATAATTCTTTTCAAATTACTTGTGAAATTAGAAGCTCTTTCACTTTTGAAAGACTGTGATATGACTATATTAAGTAATGGCTATAAAGAATACCACAAGAACAGTTTTTGAGATATACGTTAACACTTACAGAATTTAAAGCAATATGAATGACAGCTGGGTTGTTTTTTTTAAAAGCCTTCCATACTTCCCTCACAGTACTACTTTCACACTACCCTAGCACTACTTCTCTTTGCATTCACTTGTTTCAAATATTCTTATTTATTTAGGAAGACTAGTGTTTTTACCTCAGAAAAAGCTGAAGCTTCCAAGCTTCTTAAGCAGCTTCTGTTCTTAATTAGTAAACATAGATTGTTATACAAGTTCACAAGGACATGCTGTTAACATTCACAGTATTGACAGCAGTCTTGAAAAGTCTCACAGCCTTAAGGAGCACTTTCAGTGCAGGACAAAAATTGAGACATTCAACTTCCTAAGTTGGGCCACCATCAGGAGGCTGCTACCTAACTGTGCCACACAACCTCCATCCCCCTACAAAGTGATCATGAAAGAATTTACCTCTACAGTTATTTGTGCATCCACCTTGCATCTCAAGACACACACAATCACATCTAGGATTAAATCCCTTTTTTAAGCAGTCAGCACTAAATTGAGCACAGCTAAGAAAAATCATGCTGGATTAAGTATTCCACAGATCATTCTTAATTCTACAGCATTTACATCACAGTCTCAGCACCAGTTTTGCTGGGAGCACTTGGTATTTCTCTGCAGCAGCACACCAACATCTGGCCCAGCAAGTTAATAAATGCCAAGGACTTTTAACCAAGCCAACACTCTCCAGAATGAACACATTTATTAAGCACAGACACTGCAAAAGCAGCCACCAAACTGACATCAATACATACTTGAGCTTTCTGTTTTCTCCAATGGATGAGCTATGCACAATATACTAAAGCTTTCTTCTTTTTCATTGTAAAAGGTTTCCTCAAAGAGAACCGGTACTGAGAGAGTGTAATTAAAACCAGCTCCTAGAATGATGAGGTTTCCTTGTATGAAGATCTCCTGAAACAACACAGCAGAACAAGTGTGAAACTGCCAGAAAAAAAGGTGCTCTTTTGCTTCTGCCTCACATAGCCACATTTCCAAGGGGGAGAAGAGAAACTTGCAAGGCGAGAAAGAGCCAAATTGGAGAAATTTCACATTTTCATGCTTCATTGGGCAGTGGCTGGCTGAACCTTGCTTACAGCCACTTCCTCCAGCAGTAGACTTGTAAAAGAGGTTTCAGATAATTACCAAGGTCTTGTTTCCAGATTTTAGAGCACTTTTAGTAGAAAGGAAATTTAAAAATCCCAACAGCTTAAGATCAGTACTTAATCCCAGCCTCAGAAAAATACCCCACACCTTGTGTGTATTTCTCACACCTGGCTTTCTTTTCCCAGCAGCTCCAGTGAGGACATCTGGAACAGGAAAATCCTGATGGCAGCCTGCAAACTATCTCTAGTGCAAGCTGTATGCCCAAGTTCTCTGACTGTACAGCAAAATTACAAATTAAAAGCCTGGGATCCTATGCAGTGTCAGCCCTGCTTGCCTTGTGTGTAACCACACAATCAGTCAGCAGCAGCAGTGAATCACTTACTGGAGTGTCCCCAAGCTACATTCAGATATCAAACAGAAATACCTTTCCATTTAAGGTTTGAAAATTTTCTTCCAGAGGCTTCAGAACATAAGATTCAAACTGGCAGGTTGAAAGACTGTTGCTTGAAAGGCTTCCTTTGCATGGAACTAGCACCTAAAAAAAGTTAAATCATGTTTAAGAGAGAAATGCTGAGTATTGCCAGCTATACATCAATACCTTTAGTCCTTACGAGGCAAGCAATTAAATCAGGCTTTTAAATATTTACAGTAAACATACAGAAACTCTAGGTGCTTTTATTTTTAAAAAAAAGGAGAGGTTATCACTAGACATACAGTCTGATAATTAATCCAGAAATTTCACTTAGTAACTTATCTGAAAAACATCAGGCTTTTCAATATTTACAGTAAACATACAGGAATTCTAGGTGCTTTTATTTTTAAAAAAAGGAGAGGTTATCACTAGACACACAGTCTGATAATTAATCCAGAAATTTCACTTAGTAACTTATCTGAAAAAATGCTGACATGCAACTGAAGCAAACAGTACTAAGGGAAGTAAATTAAATCTTTAGTTACTTAGCACCAGCCACAAACAACTTCAAATGGCAACAGATTACTTAAAATTAAGCAGCTAATAAAAAAGTGAAGCATATATCCAAAGTCACGCAAAAATCCATCAGAAAGAAAAAGATCTAACAAATATCTTGGGTTTAGGCAAACAGATTGGCAATTTGGGGCAAATTCTTAATTAGAAAGAAACAAATTGTACTATCAGGTGACAATAACCTTCATGTTTAATGGAGTCTCTACACACTTAATTGTGAATGAAAATTAATTGCAAAATATTCCGAGTAGCAAATATTAAGGACTGGAGTTTTTATTCCAGGTCAGTTTAATAGCTTTATTTTGCTATGCAAAATGCTGTCAAATGAGTAACTGCTTGTCCACCAGGCATCTCAAAAGGTCAATCCCATTTAAGTTATAAACTTGTGAGAGGATATGTAACTTCAGTTCATAGAAAAGAAAATAAGTTTCCTGTAGAGTATAGAAACAACACCAACCTTAGCTTTTTACTACCTTGCAATATATCAAAAAGTCCATATTAGTAAATAATGTGCAACTTGAACTAAAAATTGTTCTGCTTCATTTCCAAGTTTTGTAGGCTTCAAATAATCTTTACATGTTTCATAGCAAACATATGATATAAATTCAAATCACTACTACCTAGTAAGCAGCTTTTAAATATACTTTTTCATACTTACAATACCATGGAGTTCTGCAACTTTGCTGCATAGATCAGGACGTCGCTTCTGAATGGCCAAATAAAAGGGATTTTTCAAGATATCTTCATCATACATAGCCATATGGACTTCAGATATTCCAAGGAGATGTTCTAAAATACATATGGAGAATGGCTGATGTATCATACATGGCATCTGTTAAAACATAATATTTGGGAACACCTAGGGGCAGTTTGATTTTTTTGTACAAAAGGATAAAGCAGTTTCAGCTCTTGAGGTAAGCAGCAAATGGCATTGCTTAACTACTATTAGAAGTTATTCAGACAATATTTTTCATGATTACACATTTCCATCACACAGTTATCCTCAATGTCTCCTTAGGCCTTCCAGGTATCGGAGTCTAACTGTGAATATCAGAGAGAAGTTAAGATCAAAATTATCACCACTTTGATATACAAGCTAACTTTTCCTGCTGAGATCTAAAGCCAAGACACAAATTAACAGCCTTTTCACGGCAGATTCTACTGCACCACGGGACATTGATGCTTTTGCACTGTGCTCATGTAGGTCTTAAAACTCACCTGTATAAGGATTACTCACACACACCAATGAGACACCCAGACAGTGTAACAGAAACCCTCATGTAAGGCAATCCTCAACTTTCCAGGGAAAGTTAGAGGTACACCAAGGAGATATGAATATCCATGCCATAATTAAAAAGCCACCGTGAAATTTATCATAGTTTTTGGTTATCTCTACTCCTATGAAAAGAGTCTCAGTGATTTGAGGTCAGGTTGCTAAGTAACATTTGGCTAAACAGAGCAAAAGAGCAACTGGAGAGTGAAAATCCAACCTGTAAACATTGGAAATGCTGTCACTAGGTGTTACAGTGCCCTGGAGATGATCCCTAAGGAATCAGACCTTCACCTGCTCGCTTCCTCAATTCCAATTCTCTGTAACACATCATACACAAGGGCAGGAAAACCCCTAACAGGTCCTGGAATAACTTCACATTTTTTTAACAAGCATTGAGATTAACAGGCATACAAATGCTTAAATAACAAGCTTATTCTACCCTTCCTCTCGTGCAGGTTTCCTTAGTAATCAACAGAAGTTGCATGATTTCCTCATGCAATTTCAGCTGTATATAGCCAGAAAGGGTGAGCACAGCTAGAGACTTTCATTTGAGCACACCACCCTCACACAGTCAGGATCCCCTTGTTTCCTCCAATGCAGAATTATTCCTAGCACATCATTTGCTCAGTGTGAGCTCACTGTATTGCAGCTGAAGGGGGTGGAAAAACGTACACCCAATTCCCATTGATTGCAGACAGCCTTTGAGTTTCAGCCATGCTGTCAGGTGCTCTACAGCCTGCTAACTGAGCTGGGCTCTGGTCCTTCCCCTGACCAGGCACAAGCAGAGCTCCCTTAGAGAGTTAAACACAAACACCACCACTTAAAGGTACAAGTCATTTCCACTACGAAGGTATCAGCAGTTACCTACAGCTTGGACAACCCCAGCCTGAACCACTGAAGTCTGGAAGTGGCAGGTAAGTGCCTCAAGCAGCTTTCCTGCACAATTCCAGAAAAAATGGTCCCTCTGCTTTCAAAGCACACAGCAACACCAAGAGCTTCCAGGAAAGACTGCTTATCCAGTGCTCCCATCTCAGCACAGCCATTAGTTTGCTAACACAATGCGGAAGAAAATTTTTGCTCATTGACACCTTCAGAACACCAACCAAGTTGAGTAATTAAAAGACAGTGAACCTAGAAAAAGTCCAGCTTAACACAGGCTCAACATGAGCCAGCAATCTGCATTTGAGGCCCCAAAACCAACCATGTCCTGGGCTCATCCCCCTGCATGGGCGGCAGGTCAAGGGAGGGGAATCTGTCCCTCTGCCCTGCTCAGGTGAGACCCCTCCTGCAGAGCTGCCTCCAGGCCTGGGGTTCCAGCACAAGGACATGGAGCTGCTGCAGCAAGTCCAGAGGAGGGGCACAAAGATGCTCCAAGGGCTGCAGCCCCTCTGCTCTGGAGACAGGCTGAGAGAGGTGGGGGGTTCAGCCTGGAGAAGAGAAGACTCCAGGGTGACCTTACTGCACACTTCAGTACCTAAACGGGCTGCAGAGAGACTTCGGACAAGGGCCTGAAGTGACAGCACAAGGGCAAGAGCTTCCCACTAAAAGAGGGCGATTTGTATTAAGTGTACAGAAGAAATTCTTCCCTGTGAGGGTGCTGAGGCCCTGGCACAGAAGCTGTGGCTGCCCCATCCCTGGAGTGTCCAAGTCCAGGCTGGACAGCTCCGGTAGAAGGTGTCCCTGCCCATAGCCAGGGGTGGAACAAGATGGGCTTTTAAGGTCCCTTCCAACCCAGACCAACCAATTCTATAATCCCTGATCTGTCCTGCCACAGTGTCTGGGTAAACAGGATGATCACGAGTAATTCCACTACATGATTACTATAAAGATTTCTTGGCAGGTAGCTGCAATCCAAGTCCAAGCTGTGGGCTCCTTGCTCAGCCAGTGCAGAGGGAAGAGAAGAGGCAGCACAAGCCCTGTGGCAGGTCTGCTGCAGGAACACAGATTGCTGATCCACACAACAGCAGGGCTGAGCCACACCTTCAAGGGCAGGACTAGTTAGCTGCAAAAAACCCTGCCTGCTAAACATCTGGCTAGGCCACAATTCCAACTAAGTCTTAATGACTGCAGCTTGCAGTCCAAACGTTACTCAGTGACAAATTAGTGTATATAATTAAAAACAATTTAGTGTAAGTCAAGCATCAAGCAGGGCTGTATGTATACACATGTGCAACCTGCAAAATAGTTTGCCACAGCAAGACTTGAGAGTCCCACATGCTTTTTTTTGATGGTTTTTGATATTCGTGCCCTCTTCACAGCAGATAAACCGACTGGAGCAGAGCCTGAAGTAAGAAAGGCAAAGGAGCCCTGTAAGCAGAATCCAATCCATGGAAAGCAGTGATGTTTATAACTAAGAAACTGCATGAAGCACGTAAGGATTTTTTTCCCCACAGGCAGATCAAGCTTTCAGTGAAGGGCATTTTTTCCCACATCTAAGAAGTAGGCCTTAACTGAAGAAAACAGGCTCAGGTTACAGATCAGGAACACCTTCCAAAAGGGAAGGTAAGCACATGGTTTACATTGCTTGGCAAAGCTATCAAGTCTCTCATGCTGTAAATTTCTAAGAACGTGTCAGACAAACTTCTACTAGAGGTGATAGTGGACATAGCAAAGCTGGGAGGGTGGATGACATGGTCTTTTGAGACACTTTCCAAATCAGGCTTTCATTAATGCAGTTGTCCCACTGAGGTAGTTTCATCTGCCTTCAGTTTGGTGAATTCATGTATTTGTCCAAGCAGCAGAAGATGAGTCTGCTGAGATCCTCCCCAAGACAGCGATGGAGAAGCTGTTAACACACCACATACTGTCAGGGGAAAATGCATATTGACACAAGGAGGCAACCAAGCATCAGACTGCAGTGCTAAAACTGCAGAGCACAAATGTCTCCAACAGCTTTATTGCCAGTCTTTCAGCCTAACAAATCTTCAAGTCCAAAGACTTCTTCCCATAACAGGAGGGGAAGAGAACATATACCATAAATCCTCCTCATCATCAAAAAAACCCCCAACCAAAATTTAAAGTAACACTTCATTCCTTGGCATAAAAGGTATGAGAAATTTATGTGAGCAGGAGAAGCTTCCACAGAAAGCCTGACCTCATTAAGCTTGCTGTCTGACCTCTTAAAACACTACCTGTACCTGAAGAAAAAAAAAGCAATTGGAGTGCTTTAAGAATCATTACTGATGGACCATCACATGAAGAACTTGAAATTATGATCTTCAGTTTCCAGTTCATGAGTTACACACACAACCAGTGATGAACAGCCACAGATTCTTAGTTGCAGCCATAGATTCATTTACTACAAAACTACTGACAGGGCTGAATCACACTTGGAACTCCAGCAAGGAGTGAAGAGAAACTGCATTCAAACATTGAATTGTGGCATTTCAGTTACTGTAATGCACCTAAGGTGCCACAGATGTGCTCCACCCCAGGAAGGAAGGTAAATTTCTAGTTCACAGGGGTGTTTGTCACCCTCCTTGAGCAGAGCAGATGGGAGCTCTGCACTGCTCCCCGCATGCATGCTCCTGCACAGCAGGAAACAACCCCCACATTGGTACTGTTTTGAGAATCACAACTCAATTTCCTTCCCTTTTCCTCTCCCTTACCCCTGCAGCTGTTCAGTGTCTCATTAGGGGTTAGGTATCACATCTGATTAAAATGTGGCTATGAAAAACAACAGGTGGAATACTTATTACCTAAAACAGTCACTGTATTCACTTAGCCCTCCATCACCTTCCCACAGCATTCTCCAGAGAGATAGAAGTGTGGATGTAGAAGCAATTTAAGTCATCAAGAAAAACCAAACCAAAGGAATTTAGTCCACAGATTCAAGAGAGTACATTAAAGCTTCCCCAAAGCTCAGGCATTTTTGAGATTAAGTCAATTTCTTTCCACCCCAAAAGTTAAATGCATCTGAAAATACTGGCTAATGCATTCCTATAATTCTAGGAACACATTAGAATTCTCCATTAAGAGTTTGTTGGCAGAACACAACATCCAGCTTCAACCTAATTTAACTTGAGGGTGACACAGACTTACTCTTCTAGCTGCACTTTGGACAGCTTTAGCTTTACAGTGAAAACAGAAAATGCACAAAGCCTTACATACATTACCAGAAGTGATTAATGCTTAACAGAATACTCATTAAAAACTATCATCATCATCTATATTCACTATGATGCTTAACAAAATCTACCATGCTGAGCAGTAAAGCAATACTCAAGCACTAATGTTATATAAAAGCTTTAAACGGAATCACTTCGGTGTATGGCTTCATGCCTGTAAACACAGAAATAGCTCAAATTGCTGGAAGATCAGAAGGTAGCAGGATCAGACAATCTAATAAGCATTATGTTACAGTTTAAAAAAGAACTATAATCATAATCTTACAACAGACTAATCCTTTCTAGATCAAAAGCAGAGTGATAATTCTAATGATAAAACTACGGCACAAAGGAGAGCTCAAGTGAAAACCATGAACCCTAAGCATGCCACTGTTTTCTCTGAAACACTG